ACCCATCTAGGTGGAAAAGGGTCCTTTACCTATTTAGCTCAAAGCAGCAAATCTCCATCCCCCCCCCCCTTTCCAGCCTTTTCCCCTTTCTTTTCTTCCCAATGCTATTGTTAGTTAATGTGTTCATATTCTGACCTAAACATTTGCACAGACATGAACTCTGCCAATAGCATCACTATGCATGGTTCACTATAGACCATGGAAAAGTGAGTGACATTTATGGGGAAGTGTTGGTTTTTCAGCCTCTTAGGGCAAAAGGGTCTTTTCTTTACTTACTATATACATCTCAAGGTACATAAAAGGGTCTTTATCTTTTGCCAATTTGCTGAGCATTTTGTTCTCTTTTTTCTTCCCTCCTCCTTGGCAGTGGCGCTCAAACAATCCAGCGTCCTCAACCAACTACTATAGATACATCAGTCCCCGAACAACAAGTCTACATACATCTAACCTATCGAGGGGATGAATTTATGAAAAGGCTATACGACCGGCTAAAAACAGCAGTCAGCCAAACTTTCTACGCCGCTTTGCCAATTATCAGGTTTAAAACTACCCCTGTGCCAACGCCCTAGATGAAACAACCAGTGTCGACGTACGCCAAATCAAATTGTATCTACCAATGTAAATGTAGCTGTGAAGCTGCTTATGTGAGAAACGCCAGGAGAAACGAATCGCTGAGCACATTCCAGTGTGGGTAGAAAAAGCCATGCAAAATAATATTCCAAATGAGAATACTGGCTGCAAACATAACCCCTCTGCAATAGCACACCATCTTCTAAAATCTGGACACGTGGTGACTAAGGACAAGTCATTTCAAATCCTTCATGTTTTTTTTTTTTTACTTCCCACTGGGTCGCCAGTCAGTGAATGATGTGTAGCTGTACAGTCAAGGTTTGTTTCAGTGTTCTCCAAAACTGTCTCTCGCTCCCCTTGTACATGATCTTAAACCACTTTTTGTCCATCTCTTGAGTTTATCTTCTCACGTATCAATGCCTGCCTGTTGCTCAGCTGTCTCCATTCTTTCCCTCCCCTACATGCTTTTCTGGAGTGTTTTTCCATTAGTCCTGGTGGCTTCGTCATTGCAAACATAGTTTGTAATACCAAGATATCCACTTTGATTTCAGCTGCAGGTGATTTGGCTGCAGACCACCTTGCATTGATTTCAAAAATGGCATTAAGAACTGCCCGTTCAAAAAAGAGTGGCAAACTACTGAATGTAAAATTGCCTTGTAAAATCACAAACAGCCAAAATAAGCTGGAGTTGGTTGTGTATGCATTTCTACATCTGCAGGACTTCAATTTACCCTTGTAATTGCTTGTTCATTGTCTAAATTTCTGTGCCACTCAGATTGCCTTGTAAAATCACAGAGCCACAATAAAGACTGGAGTTAGTTCTGCATGCATATCTACATCTCCACCAATGGAAAATCTTTAGTGCAAGACAGCTTAGCATATGTCACCACAACATCTAGCATGAGAATGGAGGTGGAGGCGGTAACTGCAGCTCTCCAGTGGCTAGAGAACAAGACGCATACACATGTAGTAGTTGTAACAGACTCTGAAAGCATGCTGAGAAAGGTGAAGACAGGGATGCTTTGATCAGAGTGACAAGCTTGACTGGAAAGGTCATGGGTATTGAGCATACTTTGGTGTGTTTTTTTCCAGGCAATGCCGGCACTGTGGGTAATGAACAGGCAGACAAATTGGCTGGATCTGCACCACTGGGTGGTGAATTGATACATGACAAGGCAGATGTGGTCAAGGTCCTTTGAGAACAAGCAACGAAATCAGTAGAGAAAGAAGATTATTATGGCCCTGGGAGAATGAGGCATCTGGGTGTAACCAGAGGGTCTGGCTAGCTCACTACACTTAGAGAAAAGACGAACATATAAGACTGTGACCGGTACCATCAGTATGGAAACTCTGTGCCGGCGCCTGAAGATGAGGACGGAGCATACATGGGAATGCCCTGAGTGCTGTGATGTCAATACTTGACTCAACTTTTCCAGCTGGAGACTCCCAAGTGTTAGCAGGTCTGTCTGTATACTTCTCTCCCCCATCTTCTTAGTGTGCTTCTTAGTCTACTACCATTCAACTTTTTTGCATTTGCTGTTTTTGTTTGTTATCTGCCACTTGCTCTGTATGTCCCAAACATTGCAGCCCTCATGATACTAGTAATAAACAGATATGCATTTCATTTTTGCTTCTTACTCTCCATACTGTGATGGGTCCAAGACAGTTCTTCACAAATTTATAGTAAGGTTTTTGTCTCTTTTAGTTGTACTTTAATTTTGGCAAAATAAGCAACACCATATAATTAACATATTATACATTTAATATAGCATTTTACAGTTAGTATAATAAATATTTAGAAGTGTCTTTAAACCAATAATAATGTATAGTGATATATATATATATATATATATATATATATATATATATATATATATATATATATATATATATATATATATATATATATATATATATATATATATATATATATATATATTATGCCTCATGTAAGAGCTTTCCTAGAAACCATCGACCCGGCTGCTTTGAGATACCAGCTAAGTGATTTTGTGTATCTGTGTAGTATTTGTTTGATTTGTGTGTGCTGATGAAGGCTCCATAGCGTTCACGTTCACGTTTTGTTTGTATTTGTTATATTGTGAAGATTGCCAATATACTTTTCGTTCGGTTTTAGATCTTTACTAGAATAAAGAGAGAGAGAGAAACAAAACAAAAAACTGTCGAGGCAATAGGTAGAACTATCATCAGGGAGGGCTCAACTATGAGTCTTATAAACATCCAAGACCTAAAACAGGTGGCAACGAACCGCATGGAAAGCTGTGACCTCTGACCTATGTGTTGCCCTAGGCTCAAGAAGAAAGACTAACAAATAGGTAATTTGCTAGTACTGCAGAACTGTGTTGTTTCTTGTCAGCGTACTTACTCCCCGTGTGGGTTCTGTAGCCCTAATTGGGGTGGCGGGGGGAGAAAAGAACGTAACCACTGCCACTTAGTAAAAGATGACTAGTGTAGGACTCGTTGAAATTGGATGTGTTGTGCCAAGACACAGATACTGCAGCTTAGTTGTAAACCACAACATAACATGCCAACTGCCTTTTCTCCCAAGGGGAAAAAAAAAGACTTTGGGATTGACCATTCCTTAAGTAAGTTGGGATCCAGTGCTGCTGTAGATTATTGTACCAGGTAGATTATTGCAGTCAATAACAATAGTAGGGTCAATAAATTTGGAACTAGTAACATGTATCCATTATGTCACAAGACACTGAAAAAGGTATCTTTCATTCTTTCTTTCTTTCTTTCTTTCTTTCTTTCTTTCTTTCTTTCTTTCTTTCTTTCTTTCTTTCTTTCTTTCTTTCTTTCTTTCTTTCTTTCTTTCTTTCTTTCTTTCTTTCTTTCTTTCTTTCTTTCTTTCTTTCTTTCTTTCTTTCTTTCTTTCTTTCTTCTTTCTAATCTGTTTTCTGCTAAATAAGTGAAGAATGAACATAAATGTGACCTGGAAGCTCAACAATTAAGCATTGTAAACCAAATTTAATGTTAAAATCACCGTCTTTATCAACCACCAAAACACGAGCAATTAAAAATAAAAGTACACTTAGAACAAGGAATATTCAGCTGTGATCATACAGAGTGGCATACATGACTGAGACTTGATTGAAGGAAATGTTTCATTAATGCTGGAATTAAGATTATTTCTGGAGATTTGTAGAGATTCAGATTATTTCTATAAAGTGCACAGATTGAGATTATTTCTATAAAGTGCATAGATTGAGATTATTTCTATAAAGTGCATAGATTGAGATTGTTTCTATAAAGTGCACAGATTAAGATTATTTCTATAAAGTGCACAGATTGAGATTATTTCTATAAAGTGCACAGGTTGAGATTATTTCTGGAAAATGCACAGATGGAAATTATTTCTAGAAAGTGCACAGATTGAGATTATTTCTAGAAAGTGCACAGATTGAGACTATTTCCATAGACGAGGCTGAGTTTATTTCCAAAAAACAGTAGACATTCAGATTATTTCCAGACATCATTAGAGGTTAAGATTATTTTGAGAGAGTACATAGATTGAGATTATTATTTCCATGGATTATATACATTTAGATTATTTCCAGATATTAGCAGACATTCAGATTATTTCTAGAAATTAGAAGAAATTTATATCATTTCCACAGATCAAAAGAGACTAAGACTATTTCTAGAGATCAGTAGAGATTGAGATTATTTCCAGAGATAAGACATTTTATTTCTAGAGATTAGTAATCAGCACAATTGTGTCAACCACCATATACCCACATATAATAAAAGAAGGATTTCGGCTAAACATTTATAATTACTATTTAGCAACTAGGAAGATTTGCTACATTTAAAAAAAAAAAAAAGTTATACAAAATTAATAAATAAATAAAGGCTCAGTCAATGTCAGGCAGCAACTGTTTTGTAAATATCACAAAATATTAAATCTCAGTCAACAATTACATTAGTCAGCAAATTATATATTTTAAATCCATACATTGTGTTACCAGTGCCAAACATGGACCCTTACTATAACTAATGAGCGGAAGATCGTAACAACAGAAATGAGATGTCTTAGGAGAGCGGCCCGTGTGACAGGTTGAGATAAAATCAGGAGTGAAGAAATTCAAAGAAGACTAGGACTGAAACTAGGCATAAAGTTAATTAAAGAGCAACAAATGAAATGGTCTGGCCACCTGACGAGAATGCCCTGCTATCAATTGCCACAGAGAACTATGCTAAAGAAATATAATGAACACAGAGCAAGGGGAAGACCACGCAAGATATGGAGCGACGCCATCAGAAGCAACCTAACAGAAATGAAACCAGCTTGTACAATGCATTGGAAAAAGCGCACAAATGATCCTAACATCCCCCAACACCTCACTGGGGTAAATGATGGAAGAGAAGAAGAAGAAGTCCATACATTCTTTAAAACTCATTCTGGCACATCAGTCATCATATTTGGATCGGCAGAACGGGCAGTGGCCACGCTGAAGGTACTGCTGTTCAAAGTCATCTGTGTGGAAAAGCTGAAAGAGAATAACACAGCAAATTACGAAGTCATTTTTGATAGGTCAATGGATTATAAAAATTGTGGAAATGTTTCTCTTTTTGTTTGTTTATACTTCTTCCCACATGCTTAAACTGGCACAGAACAGTCTTCTCTGAAGCCTCAGGTGCCACTACGCATAAAGAGAACTGATGATGACATGCTTAAACAGACGAAGAAACTGATACACATTTATAAAACAATAATTAAATAAAAAATTTCTAAGCAATTCAAGACAAAGCTTCTTGTTAGGGGTCAGTTTGCCTATCCTTTGCTCCCAAAATGGGGAAAATAAAGGTTACAACTGGGAACCAAAAAATTAGAAAATGAACATGACAGAAAAATAAGCTTGGCTTTGAAAACAAAGAAGTTTTATGAAAAAAACATTCCACAGAATAATATTTTGCTTGAAATGCACTGTAGAGATGGGATTTGAAGTTTAAAGTTTAAACAACGGATCAACTTCATGACACACGGGTAGTAACCCATAAGTGCTCCATTATTCTTCAAACTCAAGTCTGAGGCCGAAGAAGCTCAGCACAGTGCACAGGCTCTGTAGCACCGGCGAGGATCCTGAAATACTTTGGGTAGATTTTAAACTCCAAATTTTGCCTGGACAGTGTGGTTAAGCTACTTTTTTCGAGTTCCAACTGCCAAGGGATTTTTTGCGTGCCCAACAATGCACACAGGCGTCCGATCTCACTACCCAGAGACCTGGGGGAATTACTAGAAGTCCAAGTCAACATGACAAATTCCCAGCTGTTGCTGGGGACTGAACCCAGAATCTCCAGCACTCGAGGTGAACACCATGTTTGGAGACCAGGCAGCCCCCCCCCCCCCCTCCCCCGAGACAGGATTTATAAAAAAGAAAGCAGGATAGTGTTCGAACACTCTCCTCCTACAGCAATATCCCAACAAACAAAAACAGATTGATTCTGTATGTACGAGGGACAGTCAGGGACATTTCAATCAGAATGACAATTAATCAACTGCTATAAGAGCACACAACAAAAACATTTGGATTCAGAGCCAGAAGAAGACAGGAACATTACAGATAGACATTGTTGCTACCCTGAACCAAACTGGACATTCCCACACTTCTTCTTCTCTAGTCTTGTGTTGGCTTTCAGCACCAGGTTTTGAAGAGGCATCAGGTGAGAGTTATATTATGTTATGTTATCACAATCAATGTCTTTGCACATTAGGCATCCCCCATGCGTGATCAGTTCTCCAATGCAGTAGCCACTCCAAGGTACTTCTATTGATTGTTCCTATGAGGAGTTGGTTATAGCATCTCCTGTCTTTACCTCGAAGACAGCATAGACGTGCTTCCCCTAGATTAAGTCCTCTGTTAGCATCAGAGATTCACCATTGTCCACCAACCTAATCCTTACATGCTTCTTCCTATCTCCTTTGGGGCATTACTTGCTAGCTGGTCAGCTCTTTCCTTACAATTTACTCCTGCATGCCCAGGTGTGTAGACCCAGATGATGGAGGTTAATTGCTTTCTACCCATTGGGAGCGTAGACCACCTGTAGCAATTTTCTGAAGCATGTTCATGAAGTCTGAAACAATTACCGCACGTGTGGTCACTTCTTCTGCTACTCATGTGAGTGCTCCAGAAGCAGCAATTATCTGCATGGTCATGCTTGACGTAGTTGTCTGGTAAGCGCTGCTATTCTCTTTTGTGCTGTGTATGCCCTTGCTGATCTTGATCCATGCTCCACGGACCCATCCATGTGCATGACGATGACTTCTGGGTATGAATGCTGATCAATCAGTGACCCCATCTCGGCGTCTATGGTGACATGTATCTGACTCCTCCTCAGTGCTACGACACCCTTAGGCAAGTCATGTATGACTACTGGTGTGTCTGTCCATCAGGAGAGAGTCTTAGTATGTACTGTGTAGGTGCTTGTATTTATTGCCTTGGATATTCCTCACGGATGCCCATCCATGCTGGATCCATTCCAGATTTTTCGTTTTACTTTCTTAGACATGTTATTTCATCTAACCTCGCTGTAATGTTATTTTCCCATGAGAATTCTCTAAGCAATAATATGGGAGTAAACCTTGAGATAAGACAGAACACATGAGAACAAGAATACTCGTAGAAACATGAGATATTCAAGCAGGGCTCAGACCAGTCTGTGAAACCCAAAACAAAAGTTATAAGGTTAGACCAAGATCTAATCAGTTAGTATGTGCTTGGCAGCTGGCGTGAAAGGTTGTATCTGATAGAAGCATGAATGTGACAGTGTATTTTAGATGACGTGAGGAGTTCTGTTCTGTGAGAAGACTGCAAGATGACAGCCCGATGACAGTATAATCCGAAGTGGCAGCCAACCAGTTCCAAACTGGTCAGGAAGTCAAACCGCTATGATCAGAACTGTCGGATCATGCATTGTGTGTATTCTGAATGTAAGGAAACAGGGCTGAAAGGTAACGAGTGTGAACAAGAGAAGATGCAAAGTTGATGTCTGATAAATGCCACCTTATCTTGCTGGATCTACTAGTTATTAGTAGACACTGACCAGACCAGATCACCTATGAAACTATAAAAAAAAAAAGAATATTAACTGGATATTGTCTGCTCATACCAACTGTGTGCATTCAGAATGTCATCCTTGTCTTTCGTATGAAAAACCCCTAGAAACTAGTCAGCACACCGAAGAGACAATATCCCACTCATGTCTGCTATTAATATTCATTCATTTATGGTTTTCACAATGTCTGTCTTGCCCAATACAAGTGTTCCATAGCCATTACTTATGTAGACAGAGATTCCCCTTTTGTAGCCAGAAAAATCTGCTTTTGTAGCCAGAAAAAAAATCTGCTTTCCTAGCCAGAAAAAATCTGCTTTCGTAGCCAGAAAATCTGCTTTTATAGCCAGAAAATCCACTTAAAACACATAACAAATAAAAGAAAACAGCAATTTTTCTATTAAAAAAAAAAAAAAAAAATCACCTTGTTACATGTGGAACAGAATGTGACTGGCACATCTGGCAGTAGTGTTTTAAAGAACTGGTATCTCAATGGTCTTGGCCACTTAAGCACATACACTTCTGACCTCGACAGTGATTTCAGTGTTGCTCTGCTGACGACTACAGGTGTGAACTCAAGGTTATCCTGCAAGGAAATTCAGTGATTTTAATTATTATAAAAATCAACGGTGTATCAGTGGCACTTGACATTAGGGTTTCTGAAACAGGGTGCTGTTTACTAGCCAATCTCCCTTGATTAGTCAGATATTTTAGAATTCAGTATCTTTTTTGTGTGTGTCTCTGGTATACAATGAATCTTTCTATAGCATTTCAGCTCAACAGCCATTATCTTTCTAAACAGCATATATATTAATTAATAGACACACCCAAAGTATTTCTGCTCAAGAAACATGAATTCAGACAAAAGATAAGACAAAAAAGTTCAAAAAATAATTTTAAAAAAAAACATTTTTTTTTAATCATAAAAATATAATAGGAAATTAAAGGGAAAAAAAAGCTCTTTTTTCGCACAATGAAGCATGTTTAGTACAGAGTGTTTTCCCTTTATTCTTATAGACAATTCAATCATTAATGGACAATGTACTGAATATTATCTGATTGCCTCTACTTTCCACAATATTTCCTGAAACCCATTTTAGAATTGGGTTGAAATGGTCCTCATGATAGAGATTTAAATACATAATTTTAGTAAATCATTCCTTGATAGAGATTTAAATACATAAGTTTAGTCAATAATCCCCTTGATGGAGATTCAAGTGCATAATTTTAGTAAGTCATCCCCTTGACAGGGATTCTGCATCTGTGACTCAGACGTTGCAAGTCTGATTCGTAATTCCAGTGTACTGCGATCGAAACCCACTGCTGGCTTTGTGGATTTTTATCATGGGGGGGGGGGGGGTGTCAGGGTCACAGGGCGACCCGGCCTAAAATGGGTACCAGGATGTATGTCCTGGGGAAGTAAAGATGGCCGATGTAATGCTGACCACATTTCCCACCTAGTGCTGATTGTTCTGTAAAAATATGGGTGCTCTTCCCACATGCCCGATGTGCCTAAAGATGTGAAAGGGGATCTTTTACTGGTTTTTTTTTGGGCAGGAATTCAAATACACACGCATCCTAGCCACTGCATTACCACAGGTCTCTAAGAAGAATTACAATGCTCAGGGTGTCTTTAATATCCTGTAACCACTTTCAGTGTTGACGAGAGTCAGTGTCTATAGCTCAGGCATTGCGAACGCACTTCGTAATGCTAGAGTGCCGGGTTCGATGCCAACTGTAGGCACTTTGGCAACAAAACGTCTTGCATTGATTTTAATGATGGTACTGAGAGCTGACTGTCCAGAAAGCAATGGTGAACTATCGAAGATAAAATTTGCCTACAAAACCACAAAAGCCAATTTAAAAAAAAAAGCTGGGGTTGGTTCTACAATGTTCTGTAAAGGATAGGCAACTAACTTAGCCACTTTCATGGTAGTCCATCCCTGCTTCTTCTTTTAGAGACTATGCCTTTATGTACTGTCTCTCCTATGCACTATGAAGTTTAATAAGTCTATAGTTTGTTACTTTTTGAGGCATGCTGCAGTATCTGACTTGTATCTCCAAGTTAAGACACCACGGTGTTATTTCCAAACATTTTAGACAATATTTATTACACTACTAACACTAGTTGACCGTATACTGGCTGCAAATGGATCTTCATCTTCTGTCTGTTCATCACCTAAACGTAGCGACTGAAAAGCTGGAATACAGTTAAGGAAATCCGTTATTGTTTAGATTAGTTAAAATATTTGAATTCAAAATAAAAAGTAGCATACAATTTAACTCTTTCAGCCCCATGAATTCTGACAGACTTGGCTCGCATTATTATCCTTTACAAAAAATGTCAAAGGGGGTGCTGTAAAAATAAAATGCAATTGAGAAGATTTCTAATCCCTATAAAATTATTTATTTTTTCAAAGAGGAATGAATGTACATTTAATGCTGTTATAACATGGAAAGAGAAGAAGGACGTAGAGCACGGGGTAGACCAAGAACAAGATGGAAGGATAACATCAGAGAAACTCTACAACAGCACAATGTGCCTATGGTCGAGGCAGCCAGAAGAGCTAGAAACAGAACCTTATATCTCCCTCGACACCCACAGCGGTAAAAGAGGAAGTGAAGAAGAAGAAGAAGAACGCTGTTATAGTTGGTAGAAAAAAAAATTTGTGCAGTGTATGTTAACAAAGATTAGCGCATGTTATGTTTACAAAGATTAGCGCGTGTTATGTTTACAGAGATTAGCACAAATTATGTTTACAAAGATCAGCATGCGTTATGTTTAGAAAGATCAGCACGTGTTATGTTAACAAAGATTAGCACATCTTGTGTTTACAAAGATCAGTAAACATTATGTTTGCAAAGATCGGCACATGTTATATTTACAATGACAAAATTTTACTAAAAATGTATCACTTACCATGTTTTTTCCACCCACAAGGGCAGTGAATAAACAAATTTGAGAATAACAATTTTAAGTTTCTTCAATTTCCTAACAAGTTCAAAAGTTATGATAAGTTTCTGAGTTAATTTATCACTGAGAGGCTCTAGGTTGTTACAGAGTGCTGACAAAATTTCAAAGAAACAATAGCAGAAAAATGAACGCACAAAATATTTACTTTGTGCAGTTTATACAGACTGTAGCCACAATGATTTCATTTCAGTACAGCTTAGCCATAGTATGGTACTGTGTGAAACAGTCCTTTGGATGCAAATGTGGGAAACTATCACATCCTTCACAAATGAAATGGGTCCTCCCGGATTTAGCTCATTAAACCTCTCTTAGATTTAGCTCATTAGAACACTCTTGGATTTAGCTCATTAGAACACTCTTGGATTTAGCTCATTAGACCTCTCTTAAGATTTAGCTCATTATACCTCTCTTGGATTTAGCTCATTAGAACTCTCTTGGATTTAGCTCATTAGAACACTCTTGGATTTAGCTCATTAGAACACTCTTGGATTTAGCTCATTAGACCTCTCTTAAGATTTAGCTCATTATACCTCTCTTGGATTTAGCTCATTAGAACTCTCTTGGATTTAGCTCATTAGAACACTCTTGGATTTAGCTCATTAGAACACTCTTGGATTTAGCTCATTAGAACTCTCTTAGATTTAGCTGATTAGAACTCTCTTGGATTTAGCTCATTAGAACACTCTTGGATTTAGCTCATTAGAACTCTCTTAGATTTAGCTCATTAGACCTCTCTTGGATTTAGCTCATTAGAACACTCTTGGATTTAGCTCATTAGAACACTCTTGGATTTAGCTCATTAGAACTCTCTTAGATTTAGCTCATTTGACCTCTCTTGGATTTAGCTCATTAGAACACTCTTGGATTTAGCTCATTAGACCTCTCTTGGATTTAGCTCATTAGAACTGCCAGATTCTCTGACAGCTAACTGCTCAGCTGCCGTTGGTGTAAACTCACTGTCTTCTTTCCCAAAAAATTAAGTTTTCATTATCATAATCAGAATGAAAAACATCTGACTGAAACAATTTCAGAGTCAGATGAATTTTGCAATTTGTACTTGTGTTCAGAACATTGGTATCCATGGTCGGTTAAAGGCAAAATCAGAAAATTCACTGATTGAAAATGACGCCAGCAATAGATTAGATAAATTTATGTATAAATGTATGAACAAAGACTTGTAAACAAAGTAAAAACATTAGAGTAACCTTCCCCTAGTATTTTAATGGGAGTTTAAAATATTAAAAACTATATGGAACCATTTGTGAATCAATATGTGCAGACTGTGTGGTTTAGGCAAATCGGAACTTCTCAATCAGCACACAATGCTGCCTGGGTCTTTCAGAGAGTTAAAAGTGAATCGATTCATCAGTAGCACTGAAAATACTAGCATTAAATTTACCTTTATGTATAAAATTTTAATACACCTCTATAAACAAATCCTGAAAAAGAGAGATAAACAACAATACTTTCGACATTCCATCACTGTTCATTCTATGTGAGGTAAGCGTGACTCTAGGACCATTCTTGCTGGGAAAACAATCCTGCTCAGATAAAACAGACATCACATGGGAACACAGTCTCAGCCCTACAAACATGTGTGCCCATATGGACATGCAGACATACACACATATTATCTGCTTTCATGTATGCTTTCCTACAGGTGTCCTAAAAACTAGTACTTCTTAACTTCTTTGTGTAATAATAGTAGTGGTAATGTTTACAAAAATATCCTGTTCAACCCTCAGGGTTATAATTAGGATACAAAGTGTTTACATTCTCACAGTATATATATATATAAATATATATATATATTTAAATCTATTTTACATGTGATTAATTATTTAGGATAATTATGTAATTTGTATTACTGTTTCTCCAATATTGCTTTGTTTACATAACCCTTTTGGGTTGTGCCATAACTTATCTGTGTAAACTACTTAATATATTTGTGTAAGCTACTTCACTTATTTGTATAAAATACTTCACTTTGTGTGTGTGTGTAACCTGCTTATTTCTGTAAAATTCTTCACTTATTTCTGTAAATTGCTTAATTTATTTGTGTAAACCACTTATTTCTGTAAAATATGCCACTTATTTGTGTAAACTATTTCACTTATTTGTGTAAAATATGCCACTTATTTGTGTAAACTGTTTCACTTATTTGTGTCAACTGCTTGATTTTTGTGTGTAAACTACTTCACTTATTTCTGTAAATTACTTGATGTATTTGTGCAAAATAATTTACTTATTTGTGTAAAATGCTTAATTTTTTTGCTTAAATTACTCATTTGTTTTGATTTTGATGTAAACTATTTCACTTATTTGTGTAAACTGCTTAAATATTTGTGTAAACTAAACTTTTATTATGTAAAGTAACTAATGTTTTTTAAATAACTTTTCTGTATAAACTACTTGTCTTTGAGTGGACTACTTCATTTTATTATCTAAACTACTTCCCTGTGTAAGTGCCGCATACTTGATAATGTACTTTTCATTGTAAAACTCCATAAAGTATTTTCTTAATGTCATCCCCACACACAAAAAGGATACTGCCCATTTTAGTTTCAGACCAGAGCCCTTTCTTTTTCTGTTTAGGAATCGACATATCCAAAATATGAACGGCCTCTTCATCTGTCAGTCCATCTTCCAGCACAAATTCTACCAATGGCAAAATCTCTGTGAAGAAGTAAATGCACATAATTGGTAACTGGCAGTTCAATCAGTTTAATATCAGAAAGATGACTAGCACAGAAAATGAATTATGAAAGAAGTTTATTTAAAGCAACAAAAGTAGTGTATGATCAGACATGAATGGACCCACTTCCTCCCTAAAAAGGAACCAACAGTCTGCATACACACCAGCCAGATCTGTAAAACAGATGTGCATGCAAAAACTCAAGTTCTGGAACAAGACCAGAGTCCAGAAAATTTTTTACCCACAGACCAGAGCCTAACAGCATCTCAGGCTACTTACAGACCAGAACGTGGGTCTGTGGGTAGCTTGTTGATGCTGTTATGTTCTGGTCTGAAGGTCTGATAAACTGCTCTCACTTACCAAAGTTAACAAAGGAATGCACGAATGGCTGCTTGCAGTTGACACATTTATTTCCTGTTTTATTCAGTAAGGGATTGGTTGTAGAACAGCGATAGCACATGGGCAGAAGTTCCTGAAAAAAATACAGTACCAGTTATTATGGTTTCACACCTCTGCACTAAGTAATGCATCATTTGTGAACAGCTTCAGCATGCATGTACAGAAAATACATGATGTGGTACTTATATTCTTTACTTGCCACCGGAGATTTTCTGTTTTTCTTTAAAAAAAAAAGAGGGTGCCGGTACTCATCAGTGTATAAAAAAAGCTTCTGGTACTCACTCAAAAGTGTCCTTTACAGTAAATGTCTGTCTCACACCCTTCTTTACACCCTTCTTTACACTTTTCTTTACACCCTTCTTTACACTTTTCTTTACACCCTTCTTTACACCTTGCTTTACACCCTTCTTTACACCTTGCTTTACACCCTTCTTTACACCTTGCTTTACACCCTTCTTTACACCTTGCTTTACACCCTTCTTTACACCTTGCTTTACACCCTTCTTTACACCTTGCTTTACACCCTTCTTTACACCTTGCTTTACACCCTTCTTTACACCTTGCTTTACACCCTTCTTTACACTTCTTTACACCTTGCTTTACACCCTTCTTTACACCTTGCTTTACACCCTTCTTTACACCTTGCTTTACACCCTTTTTTACACCTTTCTTCACACCCTTCTTTACACTCCTCTTTACACTCTTCTTTACACTCTTCTTTACACCTTTCTCCCTCCCTCGTTGTCTGCTGCAAGTTTTAGACCCGTACACTTTACAAATATTCACAACCAGACATGATGATCACAGATAGCATTTGTCTACGACAAGAATCCATGGGTTTCAACTGTAGTTTTATTAATCCTGCACCAGTGTCTTGGGTCCACTTGTCCACAGTACCTAATACCACCTGGTAATGTTCACAGTCTCTCTGTCACATGTTTTAAACACAACTTGCAACTACAGTGGTTCACAGAAGGCACTCATCCCTCTTGTCTTTGTGATTTTTATTTACACAGAGTAGGCTGTTGTCCAATCTCTCTTGTTTTATCATTCACTCAGGCTTGCTGCTGACATGCCTCTATTGCTGACGTTCTCACTCAAAGTCTTTCCACACAACAAAATCCTCAATCCTTTTAATTTTTGTCTTCTGCTCTTCTGGTTGTATATCACACACACATACACACAAAGACACACTTTCATGTTCAGTTAACTTCATTCACTCATTCATTGTGATTCCGGCTTTCCTTACTGTTCAACCATTAATCTGTGGGCCTTGCTTTTAGTTTGTATACCATTGTCCTATTTTGTTGGGGTTTCCCCATATGCCTGTGTCTCCCTACTCATTGTCCTATTTTGTTGGGGTTTCCCCATATAGCTGTGTCTCCCTACTCATTGATTATGCAAACTTAGGGTTTCCTTGATCTTTACCAGTACTCTCTTAACCTGCATCATTACAGTAGTACTGGAAAAATGATACCTAAAGTATTATCAACAACAGGAGGCGAGTGAACAGTGTGGAAGTACAAATAGACCATCATGGTCTGAGGAGAATGGGGCTGCAGGGAGTTACTAGCAAATCTGGCCGATGCTCAACTCTCAAGGGAGGGGCAAGACAGATGTACAGTCAGACAGTTTCTGGTACTATCGGATCTAGAGCTGTTCGCTTGCTGCTGAAGATGGGGATGGAGTGCTTATGGGAGTGTCCTGAGTGCTGTGATGTTGATTCTTAATTCAACATTTAACAACAGGAAAGCATTTCTGATGAAGATAATGGGAATTTCATCACTGAGTTTTTTCTATTAATGGTTCTGTTTCATTAGAATGCAGCTGAATAAACAAGAACTTGCTACAGAGGCCTATTGATCACTCAGAGAGAAATCATAATGGCCACTCAAAAACTGTTGGAGCATTAGTGAACACAATGGATACAATGATGCTGGTATGTTATCACATAATCAACATTACTGCACACTGGGTTTCCCATGTGTGCTCAATCCTCCAATGAAGCAGCCACTCAAAGGTACCTCTACTGATTGTTCCCATGACAGGTTAATTAGAAATAATATTTCCTATCTCAGCCTCAAATGCGGCATAGACATGCTTTGCCACGCTTTACTACCCAAAAATGATAAACATAATTACCTACAAATACCTCGTATTTACCATGAAGTCTTTCTGTTTCAGACAGTGGTATTTTTCAGAGCTTGTAATTCTATGGCTATACATTTTCTGCAAAGTTTTGCAAAATATGTTCTGCAATTTTTGTTTGTTAAATCTGTAAGTGTTCTATAGAACCGGCACAAGGCAGGGGGAAACCACTACTTTATTGCCAGTAGTAAATTATACCTTTAAAACAATTTACAGGTGCTGTGACTATGGAAAGATCTGTAGAAGAAGAGACAGAGGAAGACAACATGGCGAGATTCATGAGATGGAGGAGAGTCAGCATACCAACTGATACATGCTACTGAAGATCACAGATTGTGGAGAGGCATGATCGCCCATGCCTGTCAGAATGGCTCTGGATGGTGATGATGATGGGTATTCCACAGTTGCAAATGGCAGCTAAAGTTTATGTGACTGAAAAGATGTGCTCTGAATTTACAGTTGTCCTATTCTAAGTCTGAAGATCCTGGTCTGTAGGTAGCTTGCGATGCTGTTATGCTCTGGTCTGTAGGGAGCTTGCGATGCTGTTATGCTCTGGTCTGTAGGGAGCTTGCGATGCTGTTATGCTCTGGTCTGTAGGGAACTTGTCAGTGCTGTTATGCTCTGGTCTGTGGGAACTTGTCAGTGCTGTTATGCTCTGGTCTGTGGGAACTTGTCAGTGCTGTAATGCTCTGGTCTGTGGGAACTTGTCAGTGCTGATATGCTCTGGTCTGTGGGAACTTGTCAGTGCTGTTATGCTCTGGTCTGTGGGAGCTTGTCAGTGCTGTTATGCTCTGATCTGTGGGAACTTGTCAATGCTGTTATGCTCTGGTCTGTGGGAGCTTGTCAGTGCTGTTATGCTCTGGTCTGTGGGAACTGTTCAGTGCTGTTATGCTCTGGTCTGTGGGAGCTTGTCAGTGCTGTTATGCTCTGGTCTTTGGGAACTTGTCAGTGCTGTTATGCTCTGGTCTGTGGGAGCTTGTCAATGTTGTTATGCTCTGGTCTGTGGGAGCTTGTCAATGCTGTTATGCTCTGGTCTGTGGAAGCTTATCGATGCTGTCATGCTCTGGTCTGTGGGAGCTTGTCGATGCTGTTATGCTCTGGTCTGTGGGTAGCTTGCGATGCTGTTATGCTCTGGTCTGTGGGTAGCTTGCGATGCTGTTATGCTCTGGTCTGTGGGTAGCTTTCGATGCTGTTATGCTCTGGTCTGTGGGTAGCGTGTCGATGCTGTTATGCTCTGGTCTGTGGGAGCTTGTCGATGCTGTTATGCTCTTGTCTGTGGGTAGCTTGTCGATGCTGTTATGCTTTGGTCTGTAATTTGTATTTTTTTCCCAATCCATTTTTGTGTGCTCATTTTAGGAGTGTAATTGTTTCTCTGCCAGTTCTTCACGGTCATGTCTTATGACATTCATTGCAGGTAAAACAGCATTATTATTCTCAGACAACAATAAGTAACTTCTTTTTCCTTTTCTTCTTAGTCCCTGTTCTGCCTTCCAGCAGCACAGGTTTTGAAGAGGCATCTGGTGCAAGACCTTGGTGTGTGCTGCACAGTTGCTGGTAATCCACATCCTCAGATATTTGGATACTCCATCTAACAATTGATTACACTGGCTGGACAACAACTTGACTGCTATTGGGAATACGTCAGCTAATTGATTTTACATATTCTTGCCTGTAAATGTAGCTTTTTTTGTTGTTGTTGATTTACGTAATGTACTGATGAAGGCTCTCTAGCCCAAACATTCACTTTCCGTTTGTGTTTTTTATTTTGTGAAGCTCGCTGATGTACATTTCATTTGGTTTCCCATCTTTTCATGATAAATCTATCCATTGTTTGCTTGGGCAGACTTTAGCTCTGCTTTCATTGGGAAAGGGTTCTCTGTAGTGCATTGACCTGTGGCAGTCTTGATAAATGTCCAAACCATTTTATCTGCTGCTTTCTGATGTAATGACATTAAGTAAGTTAACAGCCACAATAATTAACTACTTTACTTTTATTATAAATGACAACTGGAAAAAAGTACATTAAATAAGGTCTGTCAAGATGCACAAAAATACATCTAAGGAGGACAACTTAACTGCAATTCAACTGTTATTATTTGTGCTAATTCACAATTCAAAACTCACATCTGCATCATGGAAGGGCTTGGACCTGATTGTTAAGGAGCCGAGGTCTACAGTATCTTGGAACCGTTGAGAAATTTGCAACAGCCTGAGTTTTTCATATGCTGTTCGTGCCAGTTTGTATGCTCCCAGATTTTTGCTTTGTTTCGCCAAAGTGAACAAGGTGGCAGTGCATAAATGTTAAGGAATATTATACTGTTAAGTTGCAATTTAAAGAACTTACTGTTTATAAATAATCAAGTATCACAACACTTATTATAGCACATACAGTTTATTACATGTAAAAGGGTCATAGTGACATGCCAGTTACTGCATCTCACTACCATTACGCCATTATGGGTCAAATTCCTACTTGCAGCCGAATGTGATTTTATTACAGGCAGTACAGATTTGATGTAAACACAGACGTAACCAGTTGATTCTCAGAATTACAAGACAATAAGAAAGCCAAAATGTCACGCCTTATTATTTCATGACCAATTATTTTTAGCGTCTCAAAAATTTAAACTGACATATAATTATTTACCACTGGACTACCTTACAACAGAAAGAGCTCAGTATGTGAAAAATACATGTACAGTGGTACCGTGTTATATATCTATTTGGTTTACATCATATTTGGTATAAGTCCTGTTTAGATGCGAAAAATATTGCTTGGTATACAACCTTTGTTTGGAATATGGCTCACATGCTAGAACATGTATGAGTCGCAACACCTTGTGCTACCCTTTTTTACCTTTCTCATCAATCAAGGAAATGTTTGCCAAATGGATGGATGTTAAAAACTGTACAGAGAAGTATTTCCCCCCCCCCCCCACCCCCCACTTTTCATGCTGAAACAAGCCTACAGAACATCGTCTGGAACGTACAAGACAAGCCTGTAAAACATTTAAAAAAAACATTGTCTGGAATAAACAAGACAAGCCACAAGAACACTGTCTGGAGTGAAGTAGACAAGCCATAAGAACACTGTCTTGAATGAATACAAGCCATAAAAACACTGTCTGGAATGAATAAAAGCCATAAGAACATTGTCTGGAACGAACAAAACAATGTCATATTTCTGAAACATCCTGAAGATAGGCAAAAGCAAAGTTCTCTGGGCAGATTTTTTTAGTAAAAGCCTCAACCAAGTCCAAATAGGGAAAAGACCTCCCCCCCTTTCCCCACAGTATTTCAGATTTCTGATGTTTTATTCCAAGGAAACTCGCCTTCCAAACAATACAATAATATATCTTCCTCCTCAACCCTTCTCAGCACCATTCTAGTAGGTACCTCGACTCATTTCTGTTTTCGTATTATTTATTTTTGTATCAAGCAATGTTTCAATTATCTTATACAATCTTATCAATAACAATATGATTTCTTTTTCATGGGAACAGATTAATCATTACACTTTTAGTTCCTATGGGAAAATTCATTTGGTATACGTCCTATTTGGTAAATGTCCAAGGATTTGGAATTGATTAAATATGTATATCGAGGTACCACTGTATGTATTCATGCACTGAAGAAAACTGGCTCATAAACAGCACGTCACAGAAATTGAAATACTCTGGCCATGGTAAACACTTGAAAACATTCTGTGCCATCTCCACTATGAAGGCTGGCTACACCATAGACATTGCTGCCTAAGAGAATATTATGTCATGAGGCCCCAATCTCTTCCACAGTACAATTCTTGTACTACTGTCCTAAAACTTTTTTTATTAAATGGTTTAAAAAAAACCTATCCATTGTGGAAATCTAACCCTAGTACTGGAGGATCATGAAATTGTTAAACATATTCACTAACTCTAAGCCACAAAGCAAAAGTGGTTTAAAATGATCAATGATGGAAGGCACAAAACATGGATAAAAAGGCAGAAGTCCACTACTATGGAGGTGAACACAAGGTACTGGAGGAACCTGAAACTGAAATCTTCTTCTTCTTCTTCCTGTTCACCAGCTGCAAACTCCTGCAGAAAGTTATGGTGGATCATCCACTTCTGGACTTTGGTCTTGTTCCAAAACTTTAGTTTTTCCTGCACATCTGTTTTACAGATCAGCTTATTTGTTAGTAGATGGTTGGTTCCCCGCCTCTCAGGCAGGTGCACTCTGACTTCCAAGACCCTAGGGAGCTGCACTGCCAACACAGTTTTATCTTATCCTAGAGTGATGGCTCCTGGCATATCCCAGGATATCCTTTGTCTAGGCCCCACGTGCCTCGCCAGACCATTGTCTTGACATCGACCCTGCTGCCACGAGATACAAAGATAAGTGATACTGTGTATTTGTGTAGTAATGTCTATTCTATGTATATGCTGAAGAAGGCTCCATAGTCGCAACGTTCACATTTTGTTTGTGTTTGTTATATGGTGAAGCTCGCTGATATACTTTTCGTTCGCTTTTATATCTTTCCTTGACTTCCAAGAAAACAACACTAGTTAGTCATCTTTTATTACAAGTTTGATAGGTAGGGGGAGCCATGCGTCTATTCTCTACCCCCACCGCCCCCCCCCCCCTCCAATGGGGCCCCAGAACTCCCACAGGGAGACAATATATGAGGTAGAAACATTGTTAACGTCTTTCAAATGGGCCATAAACAAACAACTATGCAAAAGACCTGCTGCCTGCTAGTGATAACCTACAAACAGATACCACAAATAGCATAACACTTGCACAACCAAATACTACAACACCAAAAAATTGTAATGGTATGAAAGCATGAAAACATAACACTGGTTTTTTAATCCCATGCAGGAAAGGATATGATTTTGAAATGCCATAGCACGCTTCTTCTTCAATGTTGTGTAGAAGATAGCGAGACATGTTGAACAGGCCTTCAGGCAGTACACTGGTAAATGGCTCCACCTGGACAGTGCATGAGAAAAGAAGAGTTTCAACCAAATACAATAATGATTTACAGTCACAACCTAGAAAATCTGGCAAGGTGGACATTGAAAATTTGTTAGCATCATCATCATTATCATCAAGTGCATTACTGAATGTTTTAGTTCAGGGTCATTCAATTAAGTCTACGCAGGGGCTGAAATTTGGAAAATTTGGATTATTGTGGGTCAGAGGCCAGAGCCCCAGTGGGTGCCAGGGCCACATTAGGGGGAGAAAGAACAGATCCAATGTCCTACCCAACAAGCATGTGTTTCTTCACACCCTGGTGTGGGGGATTGTGTTTCTTCACATCCTGGTGTGGGGGATTGTGTTTCTTCACATCCTGGTGTGGGTGATTGTGTAACTTCACATCCTGGTGTGGGTGATTGTGTAACTTCACATTCTGGTGTGGGTGAGTGTGTTACTTCACATCCTGGTGTGGGTGATTGTGTAACTTCACATCCTGGTGTGGGTGATTGTGTAACTTCACATCCTGGTGTGGGTGATTGTGTAACTTCACATCCTGGTGTGGGTGATTGTGTAACTTCACATCCTGGTGTGGGTGATTGTGTTTCTTCACATTCTGGTGTGGTTGATTGTGTTTCTTTACATTCTGGTGTGGGTGATTGTGTAACTTCACATCCTGGTGTGGGTGATTGTGTTTCTTCACATCCTGGTGTGGGTGTTTGTGTTTCTTCACATCCTGGTGTGGGTGATTGTGTAACTTCACATCCTGGTGTGGGTGATTGTGTAACTTCACATCCTGGTGTGGATGATTGTGTTCCTTCACATCCTGGTGTGGGTGATTGTGTTTCTTCACATCCTGGAGTGGGTGATTGTGTAACTTCACATCCTGGTGTGGATGATTGTGTTCCTTCACATCCTGGTGTGGGTGATTGTGTTTCTTTACATTCTGGTGTGGGTGATTGTGTTTCTTTACATCCTGGTGTGGGTGATTGTGTTTCTTTACATCCTGGTGTGGGTGATTGTGTTTCTTCACATCCTGGTGTGGGTGATTGTGTTTCTTCACATCCTGGTGTGGGTGATTGTGTTTCTTCACATTCTGGTGTGGGTGATTGTGTTTCTTCACATCCTGGTGTGGGTGATTGTGTTTCTTCACATTCTGGTGTGGGTGATTGTGTTTCTTCACATCCTGGTGTGGGTGATTGTGTTTCTTCACATCCTGTGTGGGTGATTGTGTTTCTTCACATCCTGGTGTGGGGGATTGTGTTTCTTTACATCCTGGTGTGAGTGATTGTGTTTCTTTATATCCTGTGCCTTCCACTGCATACATCAATACATGTGCTGTCACCATTTCATGCAATGATAATGACTGTCAAGAATCTTCTCTTGTTTTCTTCTTATCACTCTTTCTATAAATTTTTCCAGTTGTCACCTGTTCCAGCCTTTCTCTAATAACGTAACCCCAAAAATTCTGACTGCCTCTTTCTGATATTTGTAACTAGTTTTCCCGTTTAACTTTTTTCAAAACCTTGAGATGATTGATTTTGCCTTTTTAGAGAACTCTAAGTTACACTTCAACAAATCGTCAAACATCTCTGAGGCTTCAATTCTTTTTTTAAAGCTTGTTTATTAATTGACTGCAGTTTTAATGGGGCATATAAACTTCACAAAAGAATGATGATGATTATGGTGATAACGAGTTGCCCAGGATTCATAGTTGTATGTGAAAAATTAGTCTATGCAGTCTGTAAGAATGCTTTTTAAACCTCCACTGACAGGAATGTATTGCATAAGATGTATTTCATTTATAAAATATAATGTACAAAAACATGGATACCCCCCCCCCCCCCACACACACACACACACACACACACAAAGCAGCAGAATCAAACTCAGTATAAATGATATCCAATCATATGCTTAAAATTCCTACAGGCACTCAACTATATAGGAAATGATAGAATAGGATACGAGTCCATGGAGACACATGACTGCTAAGCATAAACAAAGGTCAGGAGACGTGAACAAATTACCTGATGCAATAGTTTTACTATGAAGATTCCAATGTTTGCTTATCTGTTCTATCTATTCAATTCTATAATGAAATACAGAAACTTCACACAAATACTTAGGTATACATTTATAATCTTCCGTGACTAGTTTTTTTAAAATATTTTTCTCCAGAGGTTTAGAGAACTGGACAAGTTATCTGTTGAAATGGTTTTACTATAAAGATTCCAATGTATGTTTACCTGCTCTTTTTACTCAATTCTAAAATGACAGAAACTTTATGAATACTAGGGTATAAATTTATGATCTTCTGTGACTAACTGCCTCATACTTTTCTCCAGAGGTTTAGAGAACTGGACAAGTTATCTGTTGAAATGGTTTTACTATAAAGATTCCAATGTAAGTTTATCTGCTCTTTTTATTCAATTCTTAAATGACAGAAACTTCATGAATACTGGGGTATAAATTTATGAACATTTTTGATAACTTCCTTAGACAATTGTTATTTCTCGACTTAAAGCACACTCCTGTACAAATTTATCCAACTTTGCAAGTAAAAACCATTTTGCCACCTTGTTTCTTTCAGGTTATGATTTACTCAAAGTGGATATTTTTTTTAAATAGGTAAAAATATATTTGATAGAAATAAAAGATAGAAATACATGTTAACAAAAACATAACTGGCAGTTACTTGAAATTCTGGATATGATCTGAATGTGCGCGCATGTCTGTGTGTGTGTGTGTGTAAAATTATCAGAATATATAATATTCTTATTGTTATATCATGGATATATGAGGTATTCACAGCTTCACCAGATTTAGACTTTGCCTCAACAAACCATCCCCCTCTAATGAAATGAAAGAAAACACACTTACCACGTGTCTGTAAATGGTATGGTAAATATAGTACAATTCTGCTTTCTTTTGAAAATCTTGGAACTTTTGCAGCATGTCTTGCCTTTTATCAGACTCTTCTGCAACAAAATTCAAAGATGCATCTAATGGAAACATTTTTTACTTCAAACATTCTTACATAAACAGTATTACCAACACTTTACACAGATGGAACATAGAAAAATGTCATAATCTTTGAAGACTTTTATTAGAATGAGCAATTTCATTAACAAAAAACAATGTGTTGCTGTATCTCTCATAACATGTACACTTGAAATAAAAACAAATAAACAGGAAATGATCTTTTCCACACCAAAAGCAAATGAGGCTAGACTCATACTGGGACTCAATAGGTGGCAGAGCCAGCATCATCTTGGCCACTTTTACTTCCCAGGAAATTTTAGTACCCATTTTAGGCTGGTCTGATCTATAAGCCAAGGTTTTTAAAAAAAAGTGTCCGGCCACTCCATCCTCCTAGTTCCCCACATGCAGACCACAAAATGTGATAAGACAAAGCAAATAAATTAATCCCTATAACTAAAATACAAATATCCAACACACTTATTTATAACTGCCTGCTTAAACCCTTTCACCCCCGCCCCCCGCCAGTATTGCTTTAAAAAAATCTGCCCGTAACCCTGTGGTAGTTCTGAAAAAAAAATCCTTTAAAAAAATTAATTTTATAAAGGTTACTAAAACAAATGTAATGACGAATTTTTAATATATGTTGAATTTTTTTGGTTTAAAGTTATTAAAAGATAATTCCTCTTCTTCTTCTCTTCCATCTTGTACCTCATCGAAGTGTCGGGGGAAGATGTAATGTTCGTTGATGAGCTATGTCAAGAGCACTATTAAGACTGATGTTCATTTCTGTAAGGCTGTTCTTAATGCTATCGCTCCATATTTTCTGAGGTCTTCCACTCGCTCTATACCCGTTGTAACGTTTTAGTGTGGCTCGCTGTGGCAGATAGTACCAGGGCATTCTTGTTAGGTGTCCAAACAATTTCATGTTTTGTTCTTTGATAAACTGTAAGACCGGCTTTATTCCTAGCATTTATCTGATTTTGTGATTTCGTATTCTGTCTTTCCTTGAACTCCTGCAGCTCTTCTAGGGCTTTCATTTATGTTGTCACAATTTTTTCATTTATGTTGTCACAATTTTACTTTCATTGAAGGATGTAAGTGTCCACGTCTGGCACTGATAGCATAGTGTTAGCCAAAAAGTAGTTTTGATAAGATTCACTTTAGTTCTCCGTGGGTATCCGTTTGTGTGTCAACAGGGGAGATAATTAAACAAGATAAATAAATTAAAGATTTTAAAAAGAATATTATAAATAATAAAGAGGAAATATGTAACAGATGAAAGGAATACTTTGCTGAATTTTTAAATTGTGAAACTCCACTTAACACTTATCCACAGGAAGAGATATCATGTGAACCAAATATTGAAAAGCCTGATTTTGAAGAAATACTGTATGTCATAACACAGCTTAAACACAATAAAGCAACTGGTGATGATGGAATTGCTGCTAAACTTATAAAAGAAGGTGTTCATGCGTTACATGTAAAGATATATGAATTAATAAAACTAGTTTGGAAGATAGAGCAATTACCCCATGAGTGGAAAGAGTCATTAGTAATACCCATTTTCAAAAGAGAAGACAAGTACAAATATACATGACAATAACAAGACAGGGAAAGGATATAAACTCTGGCCACATACAAGTTCACAGAATGAAAATCAAAAGAATGGAAACATATAAGTACTTAGGTTCAAACTTCAACTGCTCAAACACGCTGAGAGAAGAATTACAATCTAGAATACAATCTGGAAATAAAGAATACTATGCCCTTTAACATCTGGTAAAGTTAAAGTGTCTGTCTCGCAACGCCAAGATCAAAATATATAAAATGTTGATAAGACCAGTCATTTTATTTAGCTCTGATACTTAGAGCACAACTAAAAGAGAGGAAGCCTTATAACAAATTTTTTTAAACAGAGTCTTACAATGAATCTTTGGACCCATCAAAGATGCAAAAAGTGGGGAATGGAGAATGAAAAGCAACAACGAAATTCATAATCTGTTTAAATCATTACAGATCACTGGCATAACGAGGTCTAATAGACTGGGGCATATTGAGAGAATGTCAAATGACAGAGAGGTAGAAACTGATATATACAAGGGAGCTGAATGGTCGTAGACCACGAGGTGGACCAAGAAGACGATGGAGAAATAATGTCCAGACAGACCTACAAACACTTGGTGTCACCAACTAGAAAGAGAAGGCCAACCAGAGAGATGAATGGAGGCGGGGGATATCTGCAGCAATGAATCTCAAGGGCCAAGAATGCTGAAGAAGAAGAAGAAGAGAAAAAAAAGATAATCAAGCAGGAGAAATCAATAAGTATGAACAGAGTGAAGCAATAAATAAAATACATTCCCCGGGGCCTAAAATATATGTATCAGGTGACTCATTGAGTGACCCTATGACCTCTATCCCTGAGGCTTACAGGAAGATGTGATGTCAACGTGGCTTCAAAAAAAACATTTAGTTTGGACGTTGGGGTTCATACTGAGGGGAGGATCTGAGCACCTATGGACATGTCCGGAGTGCAATGATGATAACCCAACTAACTAACTAACTAACTAACTAACTAACTAGCTAACTAACTAACTAAGTAACTAACTAACTAACTAACTAACTGGTTTAAAGAGATGTGACCAGCAAAGAAATTTTAAAGAAAAGAAAAAGACAGAAATATCAAGACCGATAAAATAAATACTATAAGTAATACCAAGATTATTATAAAAATATAAAAAAAGATAACTTGAACATAGACAACAAAGATAACCTCTTGCAATATCCAGGCACTGAATGGAGAGCTTCCAGAAATAATACCCTGCATCATCAAATCTAGATTCTGCTACTGCATTGTGGGTAAGCTGCTCTAATACTTTGACTGCTTCTGCTTGAAGTCCAGCCTTGTGGAATGCTTATGGAAAAGATAATACAGATGTACATAGATTGAATATTCACCTAGATTCACTGTAACTTAGTCAACATATTTTCTTCTTCTTAATGTTCAACGACTGAGGAAAGTTCTGGCTTCTTGGCTACTGGACTTCAGTCTTGTTACAGAACTTGAATTGTTTTTTTCGCACATCCATTTTACAGATCTGGCCTACTTGTAAACTGTTGGTTCCTGACCACTCAGGCAGACGTGCTCTGACTTCAGAGGACAAATCCCTAATTAATTATTTTCTACCACATGCTTGATGGGGGCGGGGTAGTGGGTCTATTCTTTCGGGCCTCAGAACCCACAGGCAGAAATCAGCATATGTGGCTTAGGGGTTATGAATACAGTTTCTAATTCTGATATACCTGGTTCGATTCCAGCTGTGGATGACTCGGCAACAGAGTCCTTGCGTTGATCTCAATGATGGTATAAAGAGCCGAGCATTCCAAGAGCAATGGCAAACTACTGAATGACTTTTTTCTTCTTTGCGTTCAAGGCTGTAAACTCTGGCAGAAAGTTCCGGTTGTTTGTCCATTTCTGGACTCCAGAAACTGAGTGTTGCATGTACATCCGTTTTACAGATCTGACTTATTTGTATGCAGACTGTTGGTTTCTTGCCTCTCAGGCAGATGCACTCTGACTTCAAAGGAAGTTCTCAATTAAACGGCTCTTATGACATGCTTTTTGTGTAGGCAGTGTATATTCTGAGGAGCCACAAGCCGAACAGTTAGAACACTGCGCTCTCAAGCGGGAGACCCACGTTTGAATCCTCAGTAAGGCTGAGGATTTTTTTCTGTCAGCGGCAAAATAGAATCCTCACCTTCACAGTCATGGCGACAGCACTAGTCATGCAGCCGTAAATCCTCAGGTTCAAAGATCCCCCTGCCTACACCGTACAAGTGGTTTAAGAAAGAGAGTAATTGGCAGTGGGTATATTCTTGTTGTTCCTATAATAGGGCCCCAGAACCCACACGGAGATTGGAGTGTACTTTATCTCATTGTACTGTATCTCAGAGTACTGTATCTCAGGGTACTGTATCTCACTGTATTGTATCTCAGGGTACTGTATCTCAGGGTACTGTATCCTTAGGTACTGTATTTTGGGGTACTGTATCTTTTGGCACAGTATCTCAGGGTAACGGCACAGTATCTCAGGGTACTGTATCTCACAGAGTACTGTATCTCAGGTACTATATCTAAGGTACTGTATCTCATGGTATTGTATCTCAGAGCACTGTATCTCAGGTACTGTATCTCAGAGTACTGTATCTCAGGGTACTGTATCTCAGGCATTGTAAATCAGAGTACTGTATCTCTGAGTACTGTATCTCTGAGTACTGTACCTCAGAGTCTGTAGCTCAGGTATTGTATCTCAAAGTACTGTATATCAGAGAACTGTATCTCAGGGTACTGTATCTCACTGTATTGCATCTCAGGGTACTGTATCTCAAAGTACTGTATCCTTAGATACTGTATTCTGGGGTACTGTATCTTATGGCACAGTATCTCAGGGTAACGGCACAGTATCTCAGGGTACTGTATCTCACAGAGTACTGTATCTCAGGTACTATATCTAAGGTACTGTATTCATGGTATTGAATCTCAGAGCACTGTATCTCAGGGTACTGTATCTCAGGTATTGTAAATCAGAGTATGTATCTCATGTACTGTATCTCTGAGTACTGTATCTCTGAGTACTGTACCTCAGAGTCTGTAGCTCAGGTATTGTATCTCAGAGCACTGTATCTCAGAGTACTGTATATCAGGTACTGTATCTCATGGTACTCTATCTCAGATTATTGTATCTAACAGTACTGTATCTCATGGTACTGTATTTCAGGTACTGTATCTCATGGTAGTGTATATCAGGGTACTGTATCTCATAGTACTGTATCTCAGATACTGTATCTCATGGTACTGTATATCAGGGTATTGTTCACAGCTCAACTCAACATGATCATCATCATCAATCAGCATTTCCTTTACAGAACATCACTCACTTCATGGCACATCTGAAAGTCTCTCTTTCTCTAGCCATACTCCAGCCCTAAATGCTTTTATGGTCAATGCATGTTCAATCTCTTGCATTTACCTTCATAGAGGTTGGCCTGCCTCAGACAACTGCACCCTCCATCACCATTCTCTCCAGGCCATCATGTCAAAAATGCCTCTGGTTTCGGGACAGGATGGTTTATGTGAGCTAATTCTCAAATTTGTTTTCATCTAATATATCACTAGGTTCCCACACATGCTTCTCGTTCATGCCTTACCTTGCTGGGCTTCTTCGAACCTGTCCTTCTCTGCCAACCACTGAGCATAGGGCACATAAACTTCAGTCTTGTACTCTGGGTATTTCTCTACTATTGCAAATGCCTAATAATATTGATATATAAAAAAAATATTAGTCAAATACAGAGAAATGTACATCAGACAATTAACCAACTTATTCTTATTTTTTGTTTGTTTTATCATCAAGTGTCTTGCCAACTGGTGTGGACGATCATGCTTCTCCGTGATCTGCGATCCACAACTCCATGTATCAATTTGTTTGTTGACACCCTTCCTTGCCCTGACAAAAGACTGTCAAGAATCTGCTCCTGCTGACGTCTTCCTCTGTCTCTCTTTCCACAAATCTTTCTACTGGTCACATGATGTTTCAGTTTACCTAATCTTATAACATGACCCCAAAAAACGATAACTGTTTCTTTCTGATATTTGTGATAAGTTATGGGTCTTCAAACCCTCACCTCCTTCAAAACATCTGGGTTGCTCTTTTTTAGCTGTCTAAGGAATTATAAGGATTCTTCTGTAAAACTACATCTCTGAGGAGTCAAGAAATTGTTTGCCCAGCTTACTAATTCACAGCAGTTTATTAAAACACGGAACTATTGCATAAAATGTTCTTCATTTTATAAAATGCAGTTTTGGCCTGTCCTATTCAGTTCTGTATCTCTGTGACACATGTTCTATCAGATGTTATCCATGTACCCGGATACTTACATTTCTGTACTTGTCCTTTGACTTTTATTATACATTTAGGCACTATTCTTTTCTTGGAAGTCACCACTACCTTTTTCAGTATAACCATGTGTAATATACTCTTCTTCTTAGCATACACCAGCTGTAAACTCCAGTGGAAAGTTCTGGCTGTTCATCCCCTTGTGAACTTTGGTCCTGTTCCCGAATTGGAGTTTTCTGTGCACAATCATTTTACAGAACAGGGGAACTTTGTGTATGCAGACTGTTGGTTCCTCATTTCTTACGCAGATACACTCCCACTTATAACACCCCTAATTAATCACCTTTTACAACATGATTGTTGGGCGACCCCCCCCCCCTTTTTCCATGTTATCCTGGAACTATTACAGGGAGTTCTGTATGTACTGAGAAAGAGCTGCAGTAACAGTGGCTAGTACTTTGTCTGTTGACCAAATGATCCTGTGTTTAAATGATCCTGTGTTAAAACTGACCTGGTCAATCCCAGATCAATCCAGCGTAAAGGAAATACAAGAAAAGATCTGACACATACGGTGTACCTTATGCTGAGATTTAAACCTAAACCTAAAATAGAGACATCTGCCACAATCTATCAGGGACAGTATCTCCATCCTGGATTCAATCAAAACTAACGGCATGAGTCAATAATTTTAGATGTTTGATGTAGGATATACTCAGTCACACAAAATTATTATCAGATAATGCTCTGAGAGTACAGATAATACTCTGAGAGTTCAGATAATACTCTGAGAGTACAGATAATGTTTTGAGAGCACAGATAATGCTCTGAGAGTGCAGATAATGCTCTGAGAGTACAGATAATGCTCTGGTAGTACAGATAATGCTCTGGTAGTACAGATAATGCTCTGGTAGTACAGATAATGCTCTGAGAGTACAGATAATGCTCTGAGAGCACAGATAATGCTCTGAGAGTGCAGATAATGTTCTGAGAGTACAGATAATGCTCTGGTAGTACAGATAATGCTCTGAGAGTACAGATAATGCTCTGAGAGCACAGATAATGCTCTGAGAGCACAGATAATGTTCTGAGAGTACAGATAATGCTCTGGTAGTACAGATAATGCTCTGGTAGTACAGATAATGCTCTGAGAGTACAGATAATGCTCTGAGAGAACAGATAATGCTCTGGTAGTACATTTAATGCTCTGGTAGTTCAGATAATGCTCTGGTAGTACAGATAATGCTCTGAGAGCACAGATAATGCTCTGGTAGTACAGATAATGCTCTGGTAGCACAGATAATGCTCTGAGAGTACAGATAATGCTCTGAGAGCACAGATAATGCTCTGGTAGTACAGATAATGCTCTGAGAGTACAGATAATGCTCTGAGAGCACAGATAATGCTCTGAGAGTGCAGATAATGTTCTGAGAGTACAGATAATGCTCTGGTAGTACAGATAATGCTCTGGTAGTACAGATAATGCTCTGAGAGTACAGATAATGCTCTGAGAGCACAGATAATGCTCTGAGAGTGCAGATAATGCTCTGGTAGTACAGATAATGCTCTGGTAGTGCAGATAATGCCCTGAGAGTGCAGATAATGCTCTGAGAGTGCAGATAATGCTCTGAGAGTACAGATAATGCTCTGAGAGCACAGATAATGCTCTGGTAGTACAGATAATGCTCTGGTAGTACAGATAATGCTCTGGTAGTACAGATAATGCTCTGAGAGTACAGATAATGCTCTGAGAGTACAGATAATGCTCTGAGAGTACAGATAATGCTCTGAGAGTACAGATAGTGCTCTGAGAGTACAGATAATGCTCTGAGAGTACAGATAATGCTCTGAGAGTACAGATAATGCTCTGAGAGTACAGATAATGCTCTGAGAGTGCAGATAATGCTCTGAGAGTTCAGATAATGCTCTGAGAGTACAGATAGTGCTCTGAGAGTACAGATAATGCTCTGAGAGTACAGATAGTGCTCTGAGAGTACAAATAATACTCTGAGAGTACAGATCTTTGACCTACTTGTTAGTGAAATCTTTCCACAGTCCAGTCCTCGCCGCATCATTGTTTAATTTCTTGTGGACTTAAATTAGTGGTTCAAAAGTCAAGAGAATGGAGAAGAGCCGGTCCTCATGAAGTAATATTTCCAATAAATGAATTAATCAAGAACTGACATCACGGAACTCAGGACATTCCCAGACATGCTCCATCCTATTCTTCAGTAGCTAATGAGGAGCTCACATGCTAATAGTATCAGTTGCAGCCTGAATAAAAGTCTGCCTCTGTTTCCCTTTCAATCTTGAATATCTTCCAGAACCCCTACCCACCTCTCCATTGAATTAGTCTTTCAGTGTGTGGATTCCCTATATGTTCTTTTTTTACTGTCCATTTTTTCTTCTTCTTCTGTTTACTGGCTGTGAGCTCCTGCGGAAAATCATGGTTGTTCATCCATCTGGACTTTGGCTTTGATGGGGCTCCGGAACCCACACGGAGAACTGTCCATTTGATCCCACAGAGCTGTCACCACATCTGCTTTATCATATAGTAGGTGAAATAAATCACTGCTGATACACTTTTTGTTCGGTTTTATATCTTACCATATAGTAGCTCACCGCCCAGAGGAGTGGCAGCAGCTAATCTATCAGCCTGCATGTTAACTTGCACAAGTGAATATCTACAACAGAAAATCCAAGATATCCTCTTGATCTGGGTCTTATCCAGTGATGCAAACCACTTTGCACGCAGGATAATTATTTGCGTATCCTTTACTGGACTTTGCAGAACCAACCTCAGCATTTTTTGTTACTGTTGTGGGTTTTCTAGGCAAATTTATGCCCATGAGTTTGCCATTGCTTTCTGAATGGTCGGCTTCTCGATGCCACTGTCAAAAATAACGCAAGGCGCAGAGCCAGCAGCTGGGATCAAACCCGGCACCCCGACATTACAAAGCGCATTCACAACGCCTAAGCCACAGGATACCAGTTTCAACTTTTTCAAAGGCATGCTCTGTAAGTCTGTTACAGTAATAATATAATTAAATAATATTTCACCAAAACCAGTAGTAGAAGTGTTGCCTCCAACCTCCGCTGTGGAGACGGCAGAATTTTGAAAAAATGCTCTGAAAAAGATGCATGGTGAGGAAGGCAGCTGTTAACACTGTTACCATCTTAACTCTTTCAGTCCCAAGGAACGCATCATACCTTCATAGGCTCCTACCTAGAGGCCCAGTGAACTCAAGATGTGCCAATTATACGTCTATCTTGACTATTCCTTGGGTCTCTGATGCTAAACTATCTAGGACTCAAAGAGTTAAAATATTAAAAGACAGGACAATTATAGATTGTTCTGAAAAGGCAGGTCAGTTCTATAATGTCTTCTTCTTCTCCTGTTTAATTATCTTTTTTAACTCTTCTTCTTCTTCTTCAGCAGTCAAAGCTCTTGAGGTTCATTGCTGCAGATATCCCCTGCCTCTACTCATCTCTCTGGTTGGCCTTCTCTCCAGTTGGTGACACCAAGTATTTGCAAATCTCTCTGGACATTATCTCTCCATTATTTTCTTGGTCTGCCTCGTAGTCTACGACCATTCAGCTCCCTTGTGTATACAGTTTTTACCTCTCTATCATCTGACATTCTCTCAATATACCCTAGCCATTTCAGTCTATTAGCTCTCACGATGCCAGTGATCAATGGTGATTTAAACAGATTATGAATTTTGTTGTTGTTATTCACTCTCCATTTCCCACTGTTTGTATCTTTAATGGGTCCAAAGATTTGTCATTTGACTCGGTTTTCAAACAAATTTAATAAGACTTCATCTCTTTAAGATGTGCTCCAAGTTTCAAAGTTCTATAATGTACATGTGAAAAATAGATTCTGCATTGTATCAAAAGCTACCACAGCCAAACTTACATCATCCCAATGTTTGGCTTCTACTCTCATGGCTATCAATGCCTTGTGATCTCCCATTTTGTTATAAACTTCAGCTGCATACTCATACTGCTCCATCTTGGCCAGGTAATGGGCAGCTCGGGTTAAAGCTTCTCTGTCAGCTTTGTCTATCTTGCGAGCCAGATCTATCATCCTTGCAGGAGTAGACACAAATGTATTCATTAATTCTCATGTAACTTCAAGATGTATTTTAAGACAATGATTTGCTAGCCTCTTGAAAAAAAAAAGAAAAAAACATTCCTAGACACATCTGCACATTGTTTACAAAAATATTTCTCCCTGTGTGGGTTCCTGGGTCGTATTATAAGGAAAACAAGAATAGACCCACTGCCTACACAAAAGCATGTCATAAGAGTCGACTAATTGGGAGCTTCCTTCGAAGTCAGAGTGCATCAGCCTGAGAGGCAAGGAACTAACAGTCTGCATACAAATTAGACAGATCTGTCAAATGGATGTACACGGAACAATTATGTTCTGGAACAGGACTGCAGTCCAAAAGTGGATGAACAGCCAGAAAATGTATAACCATATTTTAACAGTTTATCTATTTTTAAATATTTATATGAACAAGTCAAATTTAGTAGACAACATTAAAGAATGGCTTCCAAAAACCCAGAGGGACAGAAGGAAAAGAAAACCAGACCTCACCAGGACCTTCAAGATCACACCAAACATAGAAGACCCTACCAGGACCTTCAAGACCACACCAGACATAGAAGACCTCACCAGGACTTTCAAGACCACACCAGACATAGAAGACCACTCCAGGACCTTCCCACACCAGAGATAAAAGACCACACCAAGACCTTCAAGACCACACCAGACATAGAAGACCTTACCAGGACTTTCAAGACCACACCAGACATAGAAGACCACACCAGGACTTTCAAGACCACACCAGACATAGAAGACCACACCAGACATAGAAGACCACACCAGACATAGAAGACAACACCAGGACCTTCAAGACCACATCAGACATAGAAGACCACACCAGACATAGAAGACAACACCAGGACCTTCAAGACCACACCAGGACCTACAAGACCACATCAGACATAGAAGACCACACCAGGACCTTCAAGACCACTCCAGGACCTACAAGACCACACCAGACATAGAAGACCACACCAGGACCTTCAAGACCACACCAGACTTAGAAGAACCCACCAGGACCTTCAAGACCACACCAGGACCTACAAGACCACACAAGACATAGAAGACCACACCAGGACCTTCAAGACCACACCAGACATAGAAGACCAATAAAACATAGAAGACCAAGAAACGGAAACTCAGATGTAACTGCCCGCCACACAGAATTGGAACACAAATAAGACAGCAAAGAAACTCTCCTTGATTAAGGTTTAAACCTTAAGGGTTTAAGTTTAAAAATGAATAACGACATCATGGCACAAGGATAGTAACCCATAAGTGCTCCATTCTACTTCTAACTAAAGTCTGAGTCTGAAGAATTTCAGGGCAGTGCACACAGACTGTAACACCGGCCAGGATCCTGAAATACTTTTGGTGGATTTTCAACTCCAAATTGTGCCCAGGGATCTTTTTACATGCACAGCAGTTGACACGGGCGTCCGATCTTACTACCCATAGACCAGGGGGAGTCACTAGAGGTCCAGGTTAAAAAATCCTAGCCTTCACCGGGGCTTCAACCCGGGACCTCCAGCATTTGAGGCAGACGCCATGCTTTGAGACCACGCAGCTTGCCTCGATATAACAGGGCGTCTAGCCAGTTGAAAAAGGAGCAAGTTTCAAATTTTTGTTTACCAGGAAATTGACAATCAAAGAATGGTTTATAATTTAAGTTATCCTCACAAAATACAATACTTCACATCCTGATATAATGAAATATGTTAACAAATGAGAAATTAATTTACCACATTCTATTGCCTGGCATATTTCGCTGTATCTTGTCAGGTGCATACTACAGTAACAATTACATAAATGAAGCAAATAAGTGAATCCTTTATAACTGAAGTACAATTCAACAATGATCAAACATGACTGCAGAGATACCGCGAAATATGCCAGGCAATAAATTGTGCAATCTATTATTTGTGTCTTCTTTGTTCAAATTTACAATGGGGAAACACTGTTTTAATTTACCACAGTCTGATACAGCGAAGTGTGGTTACAACAGAGAAAATAATGTATAAGAGCTTATATATCAGAGATTATAACAGCCTAAAAAGTCTATGGTTAAGCACCAGCAAGGAGATTAAAATTAAAATTCATGCATCTTTCCTGTGGCAACATCCGGATGTGAGTCGTGGACTATCTTCCAGTCCTTAAGAAAGAGAATAGGGACTTTTGAGCTGAAATACTATAGAAGAAAGATTCTCAGAATATCTTGGACAAAGAAGATGAGAAATACTGACATCTTGAAAGATCTGAAAATCAAGGAAGATTGGCTAATAAACAGCATCCTGTCTCAGAAGCTGAAATATTTTGGTCATATCAAGCGCCATGACGGAACGGAAAAAATAATAGCAGAAGGCATGGTACCAGGGGCCGACCAACACAAAGATGGGCATTGGAAATAAGTGACTCCTTGAGTATGCAAGTACATGAGGTGGGAGAGCTGGCGAGAGACTAAGTTTCTTACAGCCAGACAGTGATGAGAGCGACGTTCTGCAAAGGACCTGCTACATGATGATGATGCTTACATATCAGGCCAGCCATGGTCTCCTATGATGTCAATGGCTTTCATATACTCTCCAGCAGAAATGTACATCTCAGCAGCAGCTCGTGGTTCGTTGCTATTCTTGGCCCAGTCTGCCTGTTTGGTGATTAGAAGTTTCTTGTCCAGCGCATCACCTGCCCCAAGGAACTCCTGGCACAAGGCCAGTAGAAACAGAGGTTAACATTACAACTGAAAGCAATGTTAATATGGATAAGTCTCAATGACTAGTTTATTTGTTACAGAATGTTCAACCGAAAGTAAAATTGTTTTATTTTGCAAAGTTCCTAAAAAACTTTATGCACTTTCAAGGAAAAAGAACCTATGTAAAATAATTAATGGTAACATATTTTTTGGGTATTCATCAAGGGTAGGTCTACCTTTGTCTTTAAAAATACCATGATATGCTAAAGTGGTTATCAGAGTTGAGTTGAGTCAAAAAGTGACATCACAGCATTCTGGGCATTCCCACAAGCATTCCATCCCCATCTTCAGCAGCCAGTGCAGAGTTCCAAAACCAATAATACCAGTAGCATTTTGATCGTACGTACATCTTGCGTCTCCTCTGGGTTTCAAGAATGGGCCAGATCGCCTCATAGCTCCCTGCTGCATCACTCTCACCAGATTATGGTGATCCATTTGCTCCTCTGAATTGAACAGACTCGTCCTCACGGCCCTAACCAGGTCCGCCTTATCATGCATCAGTATTTCACCAAGCTGTGCAGAGCCAAACAGTTGATCCCCCTGTTCATTTCCCAGCACATAATAATGCCCTGGAGAAAAGATCCAGACAATGTTCCTCACCCATGACCTCGGGAGCGGGGCATGCAACTCTGCACAAAGCATGCCTGTCCTGACCCTCCTCAGCATAAGTGGTTACCATGAGCATCTAAGCACTTTTTATTGAGGCAAACTGCTGCTTTGGCAATGTGAGCTTAAGGATCTAGTGAGATTGCTGTGTAGGCTATTTCAATCTATTTAAGAAGGTCAAAATGTATTTGGTTTATTATTGTGTGTCACAGCATCTTTTGGGAGAAAAGTCATGCTACACATTTCTATGGTATTTCTATCTAAATGAAGCTCAGATTTTTTAATGACAACACATCCCTTGACAAATCTTTTCAAATGATAGCTCACTGAGTGGTGAATTGAGTATGAGACTGTAGTGGACTCATGCAGTGACAGCTGTTAGGTGCTGACATCTTCTTTTACGGGTGTAAAAAAAAAACGTTCTCATGGTTTTTGGACATTAGTAAGAAAGTTGCACTGCAAACAGATTAGGACCTCCTAAATAATATTCACAGAGATAGCAGTAGCAGAATAATAGCTGACTTTCACTGTGGAGACAGTAGTAGCAACATAATAGCTGACTTTCACCGTGGAGACAGTAGTAGCATAATAGCTGACTTTCACTGTGGAGACAGTAGTAGCAGCATAATAGCTGACTTTCACCGTGGAGACAGTAGTAGCAGCATAATAGCTGACTTTCACTGTGGAGACAGTAGTAGCAGCATAATAGCTGACTTTCACTGTGGAGACAGTAGTAGCAGCATAATAGCTGACTTTCACTGTGGAGACAGTAGTAGCAGCATAATAGCTGACTTTCACTGCGTAGACAGTAGTAGCAACATAATAGCTGACTTTCACTGTGGAGACAGTAGTAGCAGCATAATAGCTGACTTTCACTGTGGAGACAGTAGTAGCAGCATAATAGCTGACTTTCACTGTGGAGACAGTAGTAGCAGCATAATAGCTGACTTTCACTGTGGAGACAGTAGTAGCAGCATAATAGCTGACTTTCACTGCGTAGACAGTAGTAGCAGCATAATAGCTGACTTTCACTGTGTAGACAGTAGCAGCATAATAGCTGACTTTCATTGTGGAGACAGCAAAGAAGAATTTAATTTAATTATTATTACAGGCACAACACTTTAACGATGTTTAATTCTTTCAGTTCCAGCCTACTGTCAATTGGTTTTTTTAATCCTAAATTAATCTGGGATTTTTCCCTCCCAAATGAGAGTACATCTGCCTGAGAGGCGAAGAACCAACAGTCTGCATACTAGTGAGTCAGATCTGTAAAACAGATGTGTTTCCAAATTCAGGTTCTGTAACAAGACTTAAGTCCAGAAGTGGATGAACAACCAGAAGTTTCCACCAGAGTTTACAGCTGATGAATGCTAAAAAGAAGAATAATTTCAAACTGTACAGAGTAGCAATCTTTGAATCTTGATGAGTTATACAATTATGCAGTATACAAGTCCCAACAATGTAAAAGACAAATAGATCAATTTCACTGTATCTAGTCCCCTGAGCACATATTGCATCACTGCCGTAACTACTCACAGCAAAGTTTGTGGAAATGGTCAAAGGAAGCTACATTACAAGAGAAGCTGTTGGGGGACCAGCGGCGACCTTAGATGCACAATCCTATTTTTGACCCCGGTGGGACTCACTGTTTAGCATGGTTGATGTCTAACGCAGAAGAAGAAGAAGAACTGTACCCAATTTTATCCAATATGACAGTCTCTATCTGAAGAACAGCTAGCCACTGACAAGCACATCTCACACAGAACAGACTCTGTAGCCCCAGCAGTGATGTAAAAGAATTTCTACATAACTACGCTCAAGAGCTGAACAATACATCTGAGAAATGAACCCATTACCTTCAGAGCATGCAGCAAATGGCTCGACTTTTTAACCACACAGACTCCCTTAGAGGAACAACACACAGGCCCCCTTAGAGGAACAACACACAGGCCCCCTTTGAGGAACAACACACAGACCCCTTTAGAGGAACAACACACAGACCCCCTCAGAGGAACAACACACAGACCCCCTTAGAGAAACAACACACAGACCCCCTTAGAGGAACAACACACAGGCCCCCTTAGAGGAACAACACACAGGCCCCCTTAGAGGAACAACACACAGACCCCCTTAGAGGAACAACACACAGGCCCCCTTAGAGGAACAACACACAGACCCCCTTAGAGGAACAACACACAGACCCCTTAGAGGAACAACACACAGACCCACTTAGAGGAACAACACACAGGCCCCCTTAGAGGAACAACACACAGACCCCCTTAGAGGAACAACACACAGACCCCTTAGAGGAACAACACACAGACCCACTTAGAGGAACAACTGTGTTTTAAAGGCAAAAGAATAAGAAAGAAGTTAAGAAACCTAAACAATATACAGTTAATCAAAAAACATATGGTGAGTTGCTTGGTACCGAAAGCGTAAAGTTTTATATTACCTTGGCCTGTTCAAACATTCGGAGATCTGTGTACATATTCAGTGCCTTCTGCTCTTGATTTGACTTTTTGTACAACTTGGCAGCCTCTTGGAACTTGCCCTGATATGCATACACGTCTGCTAGGAACACCATGTTGTCTTGCTCTCCTCGACGTCTACGTTCCTGTTTGTTACAAGAAACATCAAGCTTGAGTAAAACCGATACATAACGTGTATTTAAATAAAATGTGAAGCCATGGTAGCAAGAGGCTAGCACCCTAGCCATGGATTTGAATTTGCATCTTCTTCTGCTTCTTTTCGTTCTCTTTGCCAGGTGGTTTTCAGATGAGAAGGCCACAAGCCTTTATAAAGTCTGTGGCGGGTTGCGTGTCTTTCAGTTCCATACAGCTTGATTTCCATTGGAATGCCAACCCACCAACCCTGGGATCTCTCTACAGATTTGTATTGAGGTGGGTTTTTTAAACCAGTCTCTGGCTCTCAGGTTGATCAGGCTTTGAATGGATACCTCACCGTGTGGGTTCTGGGGCCCCATTGTGGGGAAAAATGAATAGACCCACTGCCTACCTAATAACATGTCGTAAGGGTCAATTAATATGGGGCTCTCACTGTGGAAATTGAAAGGAGGATTTAAGCTTTTGACGCATTTTACGAATGTGTTATTTAGAACACAAAACTAAAAAATATGTCAGAGACAAAATATACAAATTTGCGGGACATCATGAACCTCTCTTGGGAGTGGTAAAACATCACAAGCTAGCTTGGATTGGGCACTTGGTGAGACATGACTCGATTGCAAAGACTGTACTTCTAAGAACATTTGGGGGTAGTCGAAGAAGAGTAGGGCAAAGAAGAACCTGGAATGACAACATCAAGAAATGGACAGGACTAAGTTGTCATACACTTATTCATCAAGCCAGAGAAGACAGAGAAAGATGGCGGGTTTTATGTGCTAGTGCTTCTATCAGTACACCTCCACGGCTCTAATGGGTCAATGGTTATGTTATACTGGCTCCAGACAGCCTATAGTAAATTCAGTGTAATCTACATGAGTATAAACTGACTGCAGAAGACCTATAGTATATTCAGTGTAATCTACATGAGTATAAACTGACTGCAGAAGACCTATAGTAAATTCAGTGTAATCTACATGAGTATAAACTGACTGCAGAAGACCTATAGTAAATTCAGTGTAATCTACGTGAGTATAAACTGACTGCAGAAGACCTATAGTAAATTCAATGTAATCTACGTGAGTATAAACTGACTGCAGAAGACCTATAGTAAATTCAGTGTAATCTACATGAGTATAAACTGACTGCAGAAGACCTATAGTAAATTCAGTGTAATCTACGTGAGTATAAACTGACTGCAGAAGACCTTTAGTAAATTCAGTGTAATCTACATGAGTATAAACTGACTGCAGAAGACCTATAGTAAATTCAGTGTAATCTACATGAGTATAAACTGACTGCAGAAGACCTATAGTAAATTCAGTGTAATCTATGTGAGTATAAACTGACTGCAGAAGACCTATAGTAAATTCAGTGTAATCTATGTGAGTATAAACTGACTGCAGAAGACCTATAGTAAATTCAGTTTAATCTATGTGAGTATAAACTGACTGCAGAAGACCTATAGTAAATTCAGTGTAATCTACATGAGTATAAACTGACTGCAGAAGACCTATAGTAAATTCAGTGTAATCTACGGGAGTATAAACTGACTGCAGAAGACCTATAGTAAATTCAGTGTAATCTATGTGAGTATAAACTGACTGCAGAAGACCTATAGTAAATTCAGTTTAATCTATGTGAGTATAAACTGACTGCAGAAGACCTATAGTAAATTCAGTGTAATCTACATGAGTATAAACTGACTGCAGAAGACCTAAATTCAGTGTTAACTACATGAGTATAAACTGACTCCAGAAGACCTTTAGTAAATTTAGTGGAATCTACATGAGTATAAACTCACTCCAGAAGACCTATGGTAAATTCAGTTTAATCTACATGAGTATAAACTGACTCCAGAAGACCTTTAGTAAATTTAGTGGAATCTACATGAGTATAAACTCACTCCAGAAGACCTATGGTAAATTCAGTTTAATCTACATGAGTATTAAACTGATTCCAGAAGACCTTTAGTAAATTTAGTGGAATCTACATGAGTATAAACTCGCTCCAGAAGACCTATGGTAAATTCAGTTTAATCTACATGAGTATAAACTGACTCCAGACAGCCTATAGTAAATTCAGTGTAATCTACATGAGTATAAACTGACTCCAGAAGATCTACAGGAAGTTCAGAGTAATCTACATGACTGTAAACTGACCACAGAAAGCCTACAGTAAATTCAGTGTATCCCTGTGCGGGTTTAAGGACCACATTTGGGAGGGGGGGGGGAATCAAAGGAATAAACCCATGCCCCCTCTCTTTCCCCAATCAAGCATTCAGTACTAATAAGGAATTTTCCCGCTGAAGTTGCCGCTCGCATGCCTGAGAGGCGAAGAACCAAGTCTGCATACTGCCTGACAGAAACTCTGTCTCTTGCCAGCTTTCCTGTCTCGTGACCTTTAGAATCCAAGGTGTCAATAACACCATGTGCCCATCTTGCAGGTCAGTCCCTGCCCCTCTTTCCTGGTACCAAGCCTTCTAGTATTATTTTTTTTTTTTTTTTTTTTTTTTTTTCAAATCCGCCCTAGGACTTGATAGGGCCAAAAATTTTACATCTTCTGAGACAAGATGCTATTTACAAGTCAACAAGATGCTATTTACAAGTCAACAAGATGCTGTTTACAAGTCAACAAGATGCTGTTTACAAGCCAACAAGATGCTGTTTACAAGCCAACAAGACGCTGTTTACAAGCCAACAAGACGCTGTTTACAAGTCAACAAGATGCTATTTACAAGCCAACAAGATGCTGTTTACAAGCCAACAAGATGCTATTTACAAGTCAACAAGATGCTATTTACAAGTCAACAAGATGCTGTTTACAAGCCAACAAGACGCTGTTTACAAGCCAACAAGACGCTGTTTACAAGTCAACAAGATGCTGTTTACAAGCCAACAAGACGCTGTTTACAAGCCAACAAGACGCTGTTTACAAGCCAACAAGATGCTGTTTACAAGCCAACAAGACGCTGTTTACAAGCCAACAAGGCGCTGTTTACAAGTCAACAAGACGCTGTTTACAAGTCAACAAGATGCTATTTACAAGCCAACAAGATGCTGTTTACAAGCCAACAAGATGCTATTTACAAGTCAACAAGATGCTATTTACAAGCCAACAAGATGCTGTTTACAAGCCAACAAGATGCTGTTTACAAGCCAACAACATGCTGTTTACAAGTCAACAAGATGCTGTTTACAAGCCAACAACATGCTGTTTACAAGCCAACAACATGCTGTTTACAAGCCAACAACATGCTATTTACAAGCCAACAACATGCTGTTTACAAGCCAACAAGACGCTGTTTACAAGTCAACAACATGCTGTTTACAAGCCAACAACATGCTGTTTACAAGTCAACAAGATGCTGTTTACAAGCCAACAACATGCTGTTTACAAGCCAACAACATGCTGTTTACAAGCCAACAACATGCTATTTACAAGCCAACAACATGCTGTTTACAAGCCAACAACATGCTGTTTACAAGTCAACAACATGCTGTTTACAAGCCAACAACATGCTGTTTACAAGCCAACAACATGCTGTTTACAAGCCAACAAGATGCTATTTACAAGTCAACAAGATGCTATTTACAAGTCAACAAGATGCTGTTTACAAGCCAACAAGATGCTGCTTACAAGCCAACAAGACGCTGTTTACAAGCCAACAAGACACTGTTTACAAGCCAACAAGATGCTGTTTACAAGCCAACAAGATGCTGTTTACAAGCCAACAAGATGCTGTTTACAAGCCAACAAGATGCTGTTTACAAGCCAACAAGACGCTGTTTACAAGCCAACAAGACGCTGTTTACAAGTGAATCTTCTTTGATGTATCTGGTCACTGCTGGGGATTAACCCAAGAAACACTCGTGGTAAGAAATAGTTTTATCTCTATGTCTCTGTGGCTGCAAGCTGGTAATGATTCAGATTTATTCAGCAAAACATCTACAACTAAACTGTAAATAATGAATGAGTTGAGTCAAGAATTGACATCACAGCACTCGGCACACTTCCATGCTTGCTCTGTCCTTAACTTTAGCAGCCAGCAGAGAGTTCCAATACTGATGGTATCGGTCACAATCTGATTAAATGTCCATCTTGCCTTTCCTCTGAGGCTAGTGAGCCGCCCAGACCCTTTGATTACACCCAGGTGCCTCATTCTCTCCAGGCCATAATAATCCTCTTTCTCTACTGATTCTGTTGCTTGTTCCCAAAAAGCTCTGACCACATCTGTCTTGTCATGAATCAATTCACCACCCAGTGGCGTGGATCCAGCCAATCTGTCTGCCTGTTCATTACCCACCACGCCGGCATTGCCTGCTTTCAGAGTCTGTTACAATTATGACATGTGTATGCATCTTGTTCTCTAGCCACTGGAGAGCTGCAGTTACCGCCTCCACCTCCATTCTCATGCAGGATGTTGTATTCTAGGCTGTCATGCACTAAAGATTTTCCATTGGCTTTCGCTACAAACCCCCGGGCACTTCTCTTTCCTCTCAGCACTGAACCATCTGTATAGATAATCAGATCACCTGGGCGTGAACTGTCATGAATCAACTGTTGGACCTGTACATAATGAATCAAAACAGGCAATTTACAAAATTAGAAACTGAGGACAATTCATCATAAATTGGAAAAAACAAATAGCAATGATTTCTAATGTTCCTAATAATTTAAAACATTAAATGCTGGGTAGAGGAATATAACTTCAGCATGCTCAGTTATACCGAACACAAAGAATGAATAAATCACTGAATCAATCAATCAATCAATCAAGAAGTGACATCACTGCAGCTATGACATTCTCATTTGTGCTCTGTCCCATTGCCAAGCAGCAAACGGATTACCCATTCTAATGGTTCCAGCTATGCCTTGATGAAAACTCAGCCACACAAAATACGATATAGTTACTGACCTCTATCGAATGTATCAGCTCCAGGTAACGCAGGTCTTTGACTCTAATGAATGACTTCTTGGCCGTCTCAAAATCTAAACCTTCAAGAGCATCATGAGCCAGGGCCTCCCAGTCACCCTCAGTGACACCCAAACATGCCACTTTGTATGCATCTCTGAGAGTAGTGATAAGATTTTTAAAAATACACTTTAAACACTCTATTAAAGAGAAAAATAAAATGATTTAAAACACTGAAACCCATAATATCATAACTACAAATATTTTTTATTATTTTATTTTAGAGTATGTTCCCAAGTTATAAAAATATAGGTCTAGCCCTAAAGGCGTGGAAAGGGTCCTTTACTTTTTTTACTTACTTTATGTTCCCAAGCCTCAATGTGGTGGAAAACAAGAATTCTTCCACTGCTTCCCTAACAAGCATGTCATAAGAGTCGACTAATTAAGGGTTTCCTTCAAACTAGGGGTGCCTCTGCCTGAGAGGCAAGGAACCAACAGTCTGCATACAAAAAAGCCAGATCTGTAAAACAGAAGTGCATGCAAAACACAAGTACTGCAACAAGACAAAAGTCTAGAGGTGGATGAACAACCAGAACTTTCCGTGGGAGTGCGAATGCAAAGAAAACGAAGACTGCCCTACACACACACACACACACACAAAATCCTCTAGACTAAAATTCCCAAATGGATACTGGAATTTTTTTTTTTTTAATTACAGACAGCACTCACTGAAACATTTTCTTTTCTAGGTATTGGTACATTGGGGCTGACTGGGGCACATCCACAGACGTCATTGCATATACATGAAGGCAGAATATCTTTGAACCATTGAAACCAACCACAAAGCCCTGAAATTAGAATGAATGACTTAATAAGATCATATATTTATGTTTAATAGAGGTCAACCTGTTTCATAAACAAAGTTTTTGTTTCTGTAGTACCAACCGTATAGGTATAGCTCATTAGCCTCTAAGAAACAACTATGATTATTTTAATCATTATCATCATCATAATCATAATTATCACTGGCAACTTTAACCTTTGCACCGGGAAGAAACAGTTTGTGGTCAAGGGTTCGAAGGGCAGCCCTGGCTACTGTCATTCCGTAAGAATGAAGAATATCTTTAATGTTATTGGTCCATGTTCTTCTTGGACACCCTCACGCTTTCACATTATATTTGGGGAGGGGGAGGGGTGGCGTGGTGCCTGTGTTGATAGTTGCTGGGGCTGCAATCTAATGAAATAACCAAACCAAGTGATCTGCTTTTCAATGAATTTGGGGCAACATATTGTTTCCATAGTCTATCATTTCTCACCTGGTCTCGGGTTGTTAAGCTGGCAGCTTTCTCTAAGCATCTCATCTTACAGTTATTATTTTTACACATGTGAGACTTTGAGTCCAAGTTCAGTACTTGTGGTACTGCAAAGGTATGAATAGGCTGTTTATATTTTTTTTTGTTTTTTTTTTTTTTTGTTTTTGCAGTCATACTTATGTTTAGGTATCTTAATAAAGTTGGCAGTTGGTATATAAGTGCACTGCCTTTTGGCATCTTATTCTGATTGCCCTTTTTACTCTGCAATCCTTTAAGAATATATTTTCCAGACATATAAATTCTTTAACCTGCTTCAGACAAGTACCGCTCAACCCTACTGGCATTACAAATATCTTCATGATAAAACCATAAAAGCTCATCATGTTTCAATATTAAGTGAATAATTTTTGTACATTACGTTATACGGTTGAATTGGATTCCTAGAATTCAAACCCATTTAATTCCATCTGAACAGTTATTTCTAGAGTCACTGGGTGCCAATCTTTCAGGCTGATGGCATTAAAGATATTCTTCAGCCTGTCAGCAATAGCACCACAGTGCAGATGTGAAAAGCAAGAGAAGACTACCATATGATATATCCACAGAAACTTGAAGCCACACCTAAAATTCATTTTTAAAGATCTGATGGTAAGGCCAGGGAAAATTGGCTCATATGCAGCATTTTGTCCTGAAAGCTGAACTATATTTGCCATTTTAAACATCATGGTGACCTGGAGAGATTGGTGATGGAGGTTTCAGTTTCTGGAAAGTGAAGCAGAGGTAGACCTCCGTGAAGTTGGACACAGTTCATCGAAGATGCACTGCCTATAAAAGCATATAGGGCTGAAGAATTGACTAGGGAAAGAGGAATTTTCAGGCATGCTGTGATGAGAGTGATATTTTGTAAAGGACCAACTGACTGATTGATATTTACTGGGCTTATTAAGGGTGTGCGCAGCAAGCATATGTATTTTGTCTTTATCATCCAAGATTTTTAACTGTTTAAAAAAAAATAAACAGGTTGTATTTTTAATTCTGATAAATGAATTACTACATATTCAGCCAGACTTTTTTCAAAAATGACCTTGACTCCCAGGTCAACCCAGCTTTGAGTGGGTACCGGGTGCAGTCCTGGGAAGTAAAGGCAGCCGGCGTGATGCTGACAGCATCACCCATCTTGTGCTGATTGGTCTTTGAAAATATAGGTCTAGCCCTATTTGCAATATAAAAGGAAACTACTTTTTTTTTTAAACTTATACATTCAGCACAACATTAAACAAGCAGGTGTTTATAAATCTCTTCCCTACACAGATTCTACAAGATAACCGCAACATAAGGAAGCCACACAGTTGTCCTACCTGCAGCTTTTGTTGATGCACAGGAAAGTTTCCTGCCTTGATGCTGAGCATGCCATTGCCAGAGAAACAAAGCATGTCTTCGTACTGGGAATTCCAGGCTACGCTAACCGCTCCCCTCTCCTACAGGAAAAAACAAGGTATGGTCACATCAAAGGTCATGAACACTCACTGATGTGCATAAACATTTCATAAATTGCTTTTAAAACAGTTTTTCTGTGGACATGAACTGTATGTGTCTTTTTTTTTTCAGGAGAAAAAGAAACACATGTACGCACTTACACACACCTTGACTGTACTAACACTTTCTTCTAACTGCTCCTTTTACAGTCTATGATTCCACTTTACTACCTAGCAATGCAAAGTAACATTTTTTTTTAGTCTCCATGCCTTGGTTGTGTATATGGTGCCCCATATAGATGGCCCCATATTTTTTTACTCATCTGACAATGAACGGCCAGTATAGTCAGTATCCCACCAATCACCTTTACTTGCTAAAGCACTTTTGAGTGGTCATTTTTAGACTGGGCTGACTCGAAAGCCCAGGTCACTTTCAAAAATCCAATTCAACTGAGATTTGAAAGCAGCACCTCCAAGACCGCTAGCTGATAACTGTGGTTTGCAAAGGTCATTTTGGAGGTTAAGGAATTAAGGATGCTGGGGGTTAGTGGAAGCATGGATACACACTGGCATTCATGTTGTGGTTGATGGGTTGTGAATGAAAACCCACTGGAAGAGTGTGGAACATGTGTGGCTGGAAATTTTGGGTTGAGTCAGTTGCCCTAAGTCTGTGAGATAGGATGGTCAGGCTGTGTGGCAGTTAAAACAATATGTTTTATTTAGTTGGAGCTCATGGATTGTCCTGCTGAATGTGGTGTTCTGAAGTTGGATTTTGAATACTGTCAGTGTGATTTTCCAGAACGGACTGCTAAGCGTTGGTCCATGTGTGTTGGGGTCGGCAACTTAGTTGCAGCTATGTGGCATGCTGGTTGACGGGGTGTATTTAAGTTCTACAGAGGGCGCTGTGGTAACTTTGTGTGTATTGACCAGTGTGGAGTCGTGATGGGGAGGTATCGGGAATACTTCAACTAGTGACTAGGTAGCAGACAATGGTCTGGATTGTTTTCACCAGGTGGTGCATCTGTGCAATCAGGTGGGAGTCACCGTAGCTGCCACCTGCAGAGAGTTCACCAGGGTGTTTCATTTGGGTTCTGGAGACTGCCGATGTGAGTGTATTTGGCAGGAAGAAGTAGAATGATGATGAATCAGTGATCACAAATTCTTTATCCTCACTGTGTGTTCGTCCATAATAAAGACTGACTGCACTACCACATCATACTTGGAGTGGTATATTGTATACCAGCGAACTTGACACTGTTGGTAGTTATGGTGCATCTTGTTACTTGTGGCTGGCTTATTTTGGTGCTTTTGTGTGAGCTTGCCTTCCTTGACTCCAGTAATAATCACCATCAACATGTGCCATGCCAATGAGAGTGGGCGGCCATGGTTCGTCATCTGAGGGAACCCTGTGTGTATGTGTAGAGGACTGACATTCATAAACAACTGCCCTAGATCCTTGGTAGGTGTGCAATGCATTCCCCAGATAGCACGTGTCAATAATTACACACAGAGAAGATAGTTACTGGCAGAGGTGGATAATATGAGGAGGGCATGGAGCTACAGAAAATGACAAAAGGTAGAAAGGCTTCAGGGATTATACTCCAAGGGTAAAAGAAGTATAATGCAGACAACTGTGAAGCTTCTAATATTATCTTGGTAGTGTAAGAATATAATAAAGTAAATGTAATAGGCAAAAAGGTAGAAAATATGACAATGTAGCAATATAACAATTTTAGCACCTAATGCAGCCTTCTATGCCACTGGTTCCCAACTGCTAAGACCTGCGGACCAGCTCTTATTTTTAAAGTTCTGACAAAAACCTTATATTTTGTATTGGTAAAGCTATTTTTTTTTTTAGTATCCCGAAGCCATGAGTTGTTAACCCTTAGGCTCGATATTATGGATATTGCAACCCTTCGGCCTTGATTCCATGATAAATACTGTAAATCTGGGAGAAATGTGGCTTTTCTACCTACCCCTGGGCGTGAACCCGGACCACAAGGAGTTCGTCAACCGGTCACCGTGCAGTCCAGTTTAGCCAACTACGCTAGCGAGCCGGGTTGGTAAAGCTTAATATCCTGTTATCCTTATCATCACTCATCATGTCATTGAAAGAACACCTCTCTCTTTACAGTGAGCCTAAAAGTCTCTCTTTCTCTATCCAATTCTCCAGCCCTGTGTGCTTTCATAGCCAAAGCATCTTCCATGTCCTGTAACCACATTCACGGAGGTTGGTCTCTGTCTCGTTTTCCAGAAACTGTACCCTTCATCAGTTCTCTCTAGACCACCAAGACATGTCCAAAATATCTCAACTTTCAGGGGAGGATACTGTTTACGAGCCAGTTCTTCTTGATGCTCAGGTCAAGCAGGATGTCGATGTTTTTCTTTTTCTTGGTCATTGATATTCTAAGAATCCTTCTATAGCATTTCAGTTGAAAAGCTCTAATTTTTGTTTTCAAAGACTGAGTGAGAGTTTACATCCATAAGTTGCCACAGGAAAGATGCATTATCTCAAAATTTTCAAGATTACTTTTTGTCTTCCGTTTAGAGTTTCTAGGGATATATAATGTGGTAGTTGCCCCTTGCTTTCCACATGCGCACAGCTGAGCATCTCAACTTTCGGCAATCTTCTAGATTGCCAGGGGAAGTGAGTACTCTGCTCTTTGGTGCAAGTGCTAGCAGTAGATAGCACCACAGACATGTCCCCTCATCCCGGCGGACAGAGGTGTGTTTCTACCCTCCACCGCGAGGGGTGCAGTTGGAACTTTTCCCCTTAATCGATACTTATTATAATTTATAAATATTAGAATTGCAAAAATTATTGAATTCTAAAGTTGTGGTGGATTGAATTTATTTATTTTTATTTTTTTTTTTTATTATATCAAAGACCCCTTAAATTGTTTTCTGTGTATCTCGGGACATCTGTTGACCACCAAATCGGAATAACTATTTTATTATGTTTTGAAAAAAAAATTAATTCATTTAATTTTTTAAATAAACATATTAAAAAAATTACAAACAGACATAATCACTAATGCAAAACAGGAACACTGTATTGAAAGATTACCTGGAAAAGAAGTTCTTTCGTTACGAGTTCATAGACAAGCAAGGTGCTCTGATCATCCACTACAGCCAGCTTATTGCGGGTGGCACTCAAGTCCAGGCACCTCACTGAAGTACTTTGTTTTAGCAGCAGGATGGGGAAAGCATTGTCGGCAAAAATCTTCAGGATCTAAACCAGCCAGATAAGTAGAACATGAAACACATCGGTTTATTAGCTGCAGATAATAAATATAAAATACAACTAGAAAACAAAACACATCAGTTTATTAGCTGCAGATAATCAATACAAACACAACTCTATAATTATTATTAAAAATTTATGGTTAAGCACCATCAAGGGTACTTTATTTTTTGTTTACCCCGAACAAAGAAAATCTCAGAGTTTCGGGGAAAGACCAATATTGTAGAGCAGGGTTCTCAAACTTTTGTGGCCGCGGCACCCTTGCTGGGCTAAAAACAACAAATTTGCAGCACACCTACACATAAAGCGGTAAAATTCTTAGTAAAAGAAGAAAAAATATTGCACATTTAATGTTCTGCTATTTTTAATGCGATGAATAAAACTGTTTGGATGAATTTAGCATTATATCCTTTTCATTTTTAGAATTTCTCTCCATCATGGATCACCCTGCCTGAAGAGATGAAGCACGGCGTTTGAAGATTTCTTAATCTGTGTACTAAATCAGAATGATTGCATTCCAGATGACTCTTTAAATTGGCAGCCGTTCGCTACACTTTTATAGTAGTTAAAGCATTGCCTTTTCGTTCCCAACCAAAACAAAGCCAAACAAAGTGAGGTAGCTAAGATCATATTTTCTTAGTTTTCCTCAGATTTTTTTGGGGTGGTGAGTTGTCTTTCCGCGAACTGAGGCAGGCCAGCTTGGATGGCTTAGGCTCGCAGCTGTCTGCTGAGACAATGTAACCACAACTGTACTTATCGACTGGACCTTAACGAATGCAGGTAGAGGATCGGTCGCACCTTTAGATAAATACAAGGACAATTCTTAGCATGTTGCGACTGGCATTTTATGTCATACAAAATTCGTGTGAAATAAACAATAAACTCTTTTCACAGTAGCGAGGGAAGACAAGTATCCGCATGCCTTTTGAAAAAAATTCACAATGTTTAGACAACTATTGTTTGTTATTGCCACGTCACCCCTAGCATAAGCTCGTGGCAACCCATTTTGAGAATCTTTGTTGTAGAGTTTAAGTTTAGGATTATAGTAAGAGTTAGTCTGTGTCTCTGAGGCGGTCAGAGCTGACAAAGATCCTAACCTTAACCATGAATAACCACTATTGATCCATTTTGCTTTAGGACAGTTGAAGTTTTTGGAGCTTCATCTTTTTTTATTTTGTTGTTGTTGAAAAGTACATATTTTGAACATTTAGTTATGTTTATTTCTACAAAATCTTATGACACTCAGATTTAAGATGTTGCGCAACAATACTGTACTATTAGTAATGAAATCTGGTCTAAAAAAAACTACAGCTACAAATATTTTTTTTTTTAAACTTAGTAGTCATGAACATAGCTGTAATGTTTAGTGGATGTCAATAAATAAACTTATAAACTGTTTTATTAAACAAAAATAGTCTTACGATAAATTAACTTTATTTATTATCGAATATTAAAACTAAATCAATAATAATTTAATATTTTTATCAAGCCTAAGAATGTCTGATAAAACTGCCTAGATAAACTTTTTATTTATAAAAAAGCATTGTGTCAGAATAAATTACTAAGTTTATTTTTGTTACTACTGTTCACTTACTCTAATAACATACATAAGATATGAAATTTCTGACAAACTGTGTATATTAACTATCTAAGATATGAAAGCTAGTATTTTATTTAGTCTGGTAAATCTTAAGCAAACAGCCAAAGGTAATTTCATACTCTGTAGTTTTTATTTTAAAGTTTAAATGAAATCACACCATCATACCTGGCCATTTTTGAGTCCAACTAGGAGTCCTTCCTTTCCTGGAGGCCCACCAATAACTTTGATGTAGCGGATGATTGATTCCATCACCCACTCTCTCTCTTTGTCACCAGAGAAGGAAAAACACTGCAAGCGCTTCTCCTGGAAACCAGAGTATACGAAATGTGTTCAATGTCTCCCCACCAATATAGACACACACACACACACACACACACACATATATATATATATATATATATATATATATATATATATATATATATATATATATATATATATATATATATATATATATATATATATATATATATAAATATATATATAAATATATATATATATATATATATATATATATATATATATATATATATATATATATATATATATATATATATATATATACACATACATATTCTTAGATGATGAAAGGGGTCACAAAAAAGGTACCAAAATAGACCCCGTATAAGGTATTAAAAAAACTTTGTAAAGAATACGGCCGGCGTAATACTGACCACATTACCCATCTAGTGCTCATTAGTCTTTAAAAATATGGGTGCTCTTCCCATATGCCCAATACACCTAAAAGGTGTGAAAAGGGACATTTACTTTTTTATTGTAAAGGATAGAGCAGATTGAAGGAATAAAGTGCAAGCCCTATGTAACATATAAGCAGTATTAATGATTACATATTTATACACATTGTCAATATTCTTTGTTTATTTTCAGTTGCCAGAGTCACAAAGCCTTAATTAAATTTGGTTAACTTCTTATTCTTCTTTTTCTTCTTCTTCTTCTACGTTCATCCAAAGATGTAACTGCGTTGTTTCCGTTTACAGCATGGCTGCAATATTTGCACCTTTCAGCCAGCACATCCCACTTCTGCGGGCAATTGTTGACCAGGTTAGCCTTCCCGGTTAGTTTCTGGAGACATGGCAGTCTCAATGTTGTGCGGTCATCTTTATTTCCCAGGTCACAGGTGGTGTACCAATCAGGCTGGTCCAGAGGCCACGTAATGCTGATTAGCCCTAAGAGAAGGCAGGGGCAGAACATGAGCATCAACCACCATCCAAGGAGGTTTCCACAAATGCAAAGCTAATACATGGTGCTCTGGTACTGGGCTCACCCAAGGAATCGTCACATCCTGCTAGTGGCTGTTTAACCACACTTCCATATATTGAACATCGCATACATCATGGGCTATCTCTTTTGTAGCCGACAGTACGCAGCCTGCAGACCTAGGATTGAATTTACCTACACAACAAAATGAGTACTTTGCTTCTTTTGCATGTTAGACTTTTACTACAATGGACTTCCTCATCCACTTTAGTTTTATGTGGTTTATGAGCTCTGCATCTCTAGGGACTATCAGCTCAGAGAATCCTGTACAGTTTTATTCTTCTTATACCTTCAGATGTCAGTGTGGATATATTAGAAGAAATCAGCAGTTAACTTGAGGTTGTTGACATCTCCACACAGTTTATCCTCACAAGTTGCTGGTGTTAGCTAGAATAATTTTCTTTGTTCTGCGTATATTGGACACTCTTGCAGCAAGTATTTAGCCGTCATTTTACCCTTTCCACAGTTACAATCATCATTGTCTCCTATCTTTAGTTTATTAAACAAGTAAATTTGGTTAACTATTTAGTTTTACTGACAATAACAGCAACAAACAACGCCCCTGGGTCATAACAATTACCTGACACAGAATGATGTGCTGTGAGCAAACTACCAGAAGGTTACACTCAAACTCTTTGTGGATCTTCTCTTTCACACGGTAATGCATGTCTGCAGTATCATCTGAATACAATTCATAGATGATGATCCGATCTGGCAGCTGCACCTGCAAAATGTCACCAAAATGAGTCAGATTAAAAATACAAATGTGGAAACTTGAGAAAGTTTTCCTACCTTTGACATTTCATTGTCTCATAGTTTAAAACCTGTTATTATTGATACTAAGAATATTTAAACATGGCTACCTTTTATGGTATTTTCCACTTAGTGAAATATATTTTTTTGCTAATATTACCATTGTATCATCACCATCATCCTGCTCGGCCATTTTACACAACATAACAACAAAGTTAGCTGCATATCCTCTATAGAAAATGGAAGATCCAACCCTATAATTTTTTGGCAGTTTGTGATTTCACCAGGTGAGTTTATCTGCTGCAGTTTTTCATTACTTTCTGAATAGTCAGCTCTCAATGCCATGGCAAAACCAAAAAGTGGTCTGCTGCCAAATCACCAATTGCTGGGATTAAATCTGGCATCGTGGAATTACTATTTATGTTCGCAACACTCAAGCCACAAACGCTGGTTATATTACAAGGAGCTCACATTTGATCTTTCTGTCTATTCTATCCTGTGTAAAACTAGGCTTGAGCCATTTTCCGTTAGCTTAACAATTGATTAATTTTCTCTGGGCAATATATGGTTTCAATTCTACATTTTTTTTTTTTTTTGACTTTGGTGAAACTCTGGGGGGGGGGGGGGGGGGGGGAAGGACATCACCTTAAACAAAAACTATTTACTATCATATTCTCAACTGATGATAGTTTTTACTAAACTTTACTTTGAAAGTATTTTGGTGGATTGTGTAACATAGGGTGGCGGCCCTTGGCTTAGGCGTTGCGAGTCCGACTCGTAATTCCAACGTACTGCGATAAAAACCCACTGCTGGTTGCGTGGATTTTTATCATGGTATGGGGCATCGCGGGTCGACCCAGCCTAAAATGGGTACCAGGATGTGGAAGTAAAGATGGCCGGCGTAATGCTGACCACATAACCCACCTAGTGCCGATTGGTCTGTATAAATATGGGTGCTCTTCCCATATGCCCGATGCACCTAAGGCTTGAAAAGGGATCTTTATTTTTACTTTACTATATTTTGAAAGTATTTTAGTGGCTTTTGTAATATTACATGTAACATTGTATACAATGAATTTTAATGAAACAAATGAGACATTTGTTTTTAATTCTCATGACAAAAAAATCTTCCTGATCCTATAACTGAAGTAGCGCCAGCTACAGAGACAGAAGGAGACCAAGAAACGGAAAGCTAGAATCTCTACACAGACAGAAGGAGACTTAAAAAAAAAGCCAGAATTTCAAAAGAGACGGAAGGAGACTAAGAAATAGAAAGCCAAAATCTCTACAGAGACAGAAGGAGGCTAAGAAAAAAAAAGTCAGAATCTCTACAGAGGCAGAAGGAGACCAAGAAATAAAAAAAAGAATCTCTACAGAGAGACCAAGAAACAAAAAGCCAGAATTTCAAGAGACAAAAGGAGAATAAGAAACAGAAAGCCAGAATCTCTACAGAGACAAAAGGAGACTAGGAAATTAAAAAAACAGAATCTTTACAGCGAGGGAAGGAGACCATAAAACAGAAAGTCAGAATCTCTACAGAAACAGAACAAGACTGAGAATTAAAAAAACAAAAATATATATTCAGGGACAGAAGGCAACCAAAAAACAGTAAACCAGAATCTTTACAGCAACAGGAGACCAAGAAAAAGCTACACATGTTCAATGCACTCCAGATGACACATCTGGCTCTAGATACACACACTATGTAGATGTCAACAACCTCAAGCTAACTGTGTTTTTTGTGTGTGTCTTTTTTAAATATTCACACTGAAGTCTGAAGGTATATGGAGGAGAAGAAAAAGATGAAGCCCCAAAACTGCAACTCAACTGACAAATTCCACTCTATGTACCAGCCCAAGATTAGAACCGATCTACTTACAGCGAGTCTGTTCTTGTAGATGGCAATTTTTTTCACCAGATCACGGCACTTGATCCGAACTGAAACAAAAGCCAAACCAAAACACTGCAAATACTGTTCAATATGAAATCTTCATAACTCCAATAATACATTTTTCGTTTACTTATTTTTAAAAAACTCTTCAGGTACGTTGCCTGGATCAGACCTCAGCAATCATGACACTCCAATCTGTTCTTTCATCCTGACATTCTGATTGAATTAATGTTGCTTGTATATGTGCCTAAATCCTCGGGCTCAAAGACCCTCTTTACCCACACGATAAAAGCAATAAATACAGGCAGTATTTGGCAGTTTTGCTTACATTGTTCTCATTTTGTATGTTTAGAATTGTTTCACAAACATCTTTATCTGTTTTCCTCTGCCTCTCTTGCCTGTTAATATTCCAATAAGTAAAGTAATGAGGTAATATCTCTAATCCATCTTCTCTTATCACTGTAGATAAAATAGCAACTCATTATCAAGCAAATACCAACTGAAGACCTTTATAAACACACCATAACAATTGTCTGTGTGTGTGTTTATATATATTATATATTTTAGTATATATATATATATATGTGTGTGTGTGTGTGTGTGTGTGTGTATACATATATGTACACATACACATATTTATACTAATATATATGTGTGTATGTGTATATATATTATAGTATTTTACAGAAGCAACATCTTTTAATAACTTTTACAGTGACCTGCATTGTTGTTTAAATGCTCCCACACATGCATCCTAAATACATAAAGAATTGTGTGAACCAACAAGTTTTTATTTTTATAGCACTTGTTATATTGCATTGGTAATTTCTGTTAGCAGCCTTCTGATTTTCATTAGATCATACTTTTCCATGTGCTTCCAAAGCCATTTTAAAGACCCAAAAAAACAGACCAACTGATCCCAGACAAGCATGTCATAAGAGGTGGCTATTTAGGAGTGTTTCCTTTGAAGCCGGAGGGCATGTTCCTGAGAGGTGAGCAACAAACAGTCTAACCACAAAATTTTTTTTTTAAAAGGATAACACAAGACAAACCGCCCGCAGCTGGGATCGAACACGGCACCCCAGCGTTACGAAGCTTGTTCATAACTCCTAAGCCATTGATGCTGACACACACACACACACACAAATAAGCCAATCTATAAAACAGATGTGTGTCCAAAAGTGGATGAACAACCAGAACTTTCCACTTGAGTTTACAGCCAGTGAACTTTAGGAAAAAGAAGAAGGTAAGGATATATGTAGCTTTGGCTTTTGGGGGTGGGGGTGGGGGCGTTAAATACATTTTTGTTTTATGCCAAATCAGATTCATATGAAAGGTGCCTAACCCCCCCCCCCCTTCCCAGTTCAGTAGTGAATCGCTATTTATATTTGTTGGCCATTCCCAGTGTTTTGTTTTTCACTTCTGATAAACATGCCCTTTCATGCAAAAGATTAAACAAAAAACAAAACAAAGTTATAGAAACCTAAACTTTCTGACACAAATGTTCTTCCATACAACAGATTAAACAAACTGTCACAAAAACCAAACCTTTCTGATCAGTGATAAGATGTTGAATAATAATGTCAGTCATGCTGTCCCGGTACGCGTATCTGTCTCTGTACAGGCCATGAACTGTACTGAACATCAAGTGATAGATGGCTACTGTCCCATCATTGCTTCCTACAGCCTGAAACAGCGATCACAAAAGTTGTTTCAACTTATAAAAGCAGGAGCTTGAATGTTTATAAATGAAACAAATAATCAGGAAACATTAATTTTCTTTGAGGAAAAGTCTTAAAATAAAAATAGTATTTTAAAATATTTTTTGAATTGTGTGGATATTGAGAAAGCCTGGAATTATGAAGTTATTTAGTAATTTATGAAGGTATTAACTAACAACCCTTAAATTATAAAGGTATTAAATAACAATCAAGAGGAGTACGAAGAACTGAAGTAATAATCCTGAAATATGATCATTAGCCATTCTGATTTCAGTATAATGTAGCCTTATCCCGATAGTGACAGCTACATCAAATGCCAGATGAAGGAGGGGGCTGCATGGTCTCAAGGCATGGTGTCTGCCTCGAGTGCTAGAGGTTCCAGGTTCAATTCCTGGTGAGAGCTGGGATGTTTTCACATGGACTTGGACTTCTAGTAATTCACCTGGTCTCTGGTTTGTGAGATCAGAAACCCGTGTGCATTGTCGCGCACGTAAAAAATATATTGGCAGTTGGAAATTGAAAAGAGTAGCCTAACACCGTTGCCCGGGCAAAATTTGGAGTTAAAAATCTACGCATAGTATTTAAGGATCCTTGCTGGTGCTACAGAGCCTGTGCACTGTGCTGAGCTTCTTCAGACTCAGACTTAAGTTAGGAGAAGAACGGAGCACTTATGGGTTACTACCCGTGTGCCATGATGTTGATCCGTTGTTCAAAGTTCAAACCTCATGTCAGATGAAGGTAGAATGACCTGACAACCAAGGTCAAGTTTTTTTTTTAATGTGTTTTTCTTCTTAGCATTCACCCGCTGTAAACTCTTGCAGAAAGTTCCCGCTGTTCAACCACTTCAGGACTTTGATCTTGTTCCAGAACTTTAGTTTTGTATGCACATTCATTTTACAGATTTAGCTTATTTGTATGCAGACTGTTGGTTCCATGCTTCTTAGGCAGATGCACTCCCAGTTTAAAGGAAACACACTTAATTGGTCGCCTTTTGTTAGGAAGCAGTGGATAAATTCTTCATCCCCCCACTATGGGGCCCTGGAACCAACTCTAGGAAAAAATCTATGACAATGCAGATGTGAACCATCAAGGCTGATTTTTTAAACTGACCTGGGCTCCTCAGTGGATCCAGGGTTATTTGCAAATCCTTTTACAGGACATTGCAAAACCAACCACAACTTCTAACATTTTTTGGCTGTAGTGGTTTTTCTAGGCACATTTACATTCATTTGTTAGCAGCTGCTTTAGGAACAACTGGCTCTCGATTCCACTGTCTAAACCAACGCAAGGCAATCTGCTGCCAAACTGCCAGCAGCTGGGATCACATCCAGCACCCTGGCATTAGAAAGCACATTTGCAATGCCCAAGCCACAAACATCAACTGAGATTCAAACTGGACTCAAGAGTAAGTAAGTAAAAAGTAAAGGACCCTTTCCACGCCTTTAGGCGTATAGGGCATATAGGGCTAGACCTATATTTTTATAGACCAATCGGCACAAGATGGGTGATGTGGTCAGCATCACGCCGGCCGCCTCTACTTCCAGGGATTGCACCCGGTACCCACTCAAGGCTGGGTCGACCTAGGAGCCAAGGTCATTTTTGAAGAAAAGTCCGTCTCCACCAGGGAGCGAACCCACGACCTTCCGATCCGCGGCGCACGTCTAGCCGCTCTGCCACGGCGACTCCCTGGACTCAAGAGTAGATAACCCCAAAAATGTCCAGGGAAGTGTCTGTAAATAATGATTCTAGCACCATATACACAATATGCCCCAAAGCCGAGAAATAAGCAAAATGGCCCGCAACCTGAAAATAATTTCTTACCACATAGTTTGAGTCTGGTTTCACAGCACAGCACCATACCCAGCCTGATGGCTCGCCAATGGCTCCCAGCTTAACTCCTTCCTTTGTGTACAGGCAGCACTGCTTGTTTGCTCCACCAACAACAATGTACTCTCCTTTTGAGAACCAGCTCAGACAGCACGGGTCATATCCCAGTAGACGATCTTTTCCAATCTTCAACAGATAAGATTTTTAAAAACAAGCTAATCAGGCTGTGTACTTTTGTTCAGATGCCTTGTCTAAAGACGCTATCAGGCGATAATGATTCTTCTCTGTTCAACAGATAACATTATAAGAAGTTAATTATATAATATTGTTTGCCTCCTTCTTCTGCTGATGCTTCTCCTTCTTCTAATTCTCTTTCTTCTCTAAAATTATTTTTTTAACCACAATTTCAGAATCTTTGGGAGATTATAAGATAATTTTAAAAAGTATGTCTTAAGCTTCATTTGTTTAGTCTGGAGTAGCTATTAGAGCATAGTAAATAATGACACTTTCAAATATGATCGTAGAAGAATGTTTAACCCTTTTATCTTTGAATTCTTAAAAAAATAAAACATAAACAAATAGTTATGACCACGTTAGAATTCCAGGGGAAAAAAAAAGTAAAAAACAACAGAAATCTTTTCACAGGTCACTAATAAATTCGCTAAAAATTTCTTTATCAACATTCTAATATTATTTTTTAAAATGTATAAAGATATAAAATAGCAGTAATCAATAAACACATACTGGGCAAAGCATAAAACTAAAAACAACCTCAGGAGCTTAAAAAAAAGCATATTGGTAATGTTAGGCAAGTCAGAAAAGTAACATTTTTGGGAAATTGGACCCAACCGGAAGTGCCAGTTTTTTTGCATCTCAGGCCGAAAGGGTTAAAGATGAAAGGATCAACTTCAATGGGCTAGTTTTACCATATGTGGCTCAGTCCTATTTTTTACTAAACTCTAAAGTATTAAGCAAGTTTATTATCTGTTTCTCCTCTCCAGGTCTGTCAACCCCTCAAACTACAAGAATCTCATTCTGGATGGGAAAACCAGAAGTACAAACCCTAATACCTTGTTCAACCTCCATAGAAATTATCACTGTGGCACCCGTAATGGCTACATTTAATATTATTTGACTATCCTAACATTACCAAAACATAAGTCTGAATGGCAAGCTAACAGATTCCACAAACCTGGGTCAACTTCTACAGAAACAATTTCTAAAGAAGTCTTCTCCTTCTTCACCACGTTCCCCAGCTGTAAACTCCTGTGTAAAGTTCTGGTTGTTCATCCACTTCTGGAATTTAGAATTGTTTCAGAACCTGAGTGTTGCGTGCACATTGCTTTACAGATCTGACTTATCTGTAATCAGACTGTTGGTTCCTTGCCTCTCAGACAGATGCACTCTGACTTAGAAGGAAACCCCTAATTTGTAGACTCTTACGACATGCTTGTTGGGAAGGCAGTGGGTCTATTCTTGTTTTCCCCCCAAAATGGGCCTGGAACACACAAAGGGATCTTAAGAAGTAAATGAGGCACCAATAATGGCTTCACCAGCTGGAGTTCCCTGAAGTCCTGCGCCAGCAAGGATAATCCCATAAAGTTGTTTTTTTTTCAATATAACATCTTAACACCACCATCCACAATATTATTTCATATGAACACAAATCACACAAGCCTCTTGATCTGTGGGTTGTGGATCAGTTGCCTAGCCTCTTCAGACAAGTATGAAAGACAGGCTGAGTATGCAAGCTATACATATTTTAAATAATTAGAAATCATAGAAAACAGACTGTACATGCCACTATCCTAACGTAACTAAATATATACCTGCAATCAAAATATTTGTAGTGGAGACAAAGGGAAGAAAAAATCTTAGTTAAAAAAAAGAGAGACAATCTTAGTCAAAGAGTAGAGACAATCTTAGTCAAAGAGTAGGGACAATCTTAGTTAAAGAGTAGAGACAGTTTTAGTTAAAGAGTAGAGAAAATCTTAGTTAAAGAGTAGAGACAATTTTAGTTAAAGAGGAGAGACAATTTTAGTTAAAGAGGAGAGACAATCTTAGTTAAAGAAGAGAGACAATCTTAGTCAAAGAGTAGAGACAATTTTACTCTCTTTAAAACATTTGAATATGTTAGTTAAAAGGTGCAACTGTATTGGAATTTCAGCCTAAAGACTTTAAATACTGCTCAGCCAATGTAATCTACTTCAGTCAATGTCATTTTGAGATCAGACAAGTAAGACATACAAAATGTTTCACAATAGCCAGATGTGATCACAATCTTCTGTGTGAATCCTTCCTACCTGTTTCCCAGACAGTTGATAAAATGACAGTCTCTGGCCCCAATCTGCAACAGCTAGGATATCAGACTGCTCATCCCTGTAAACAACAAAACAAAAAAACAACAAAAAAAAAATTTTAAAAAGCAAACATTTGAAGTAATACAGAACAGCCAGACACAGGCTGCACTTATGAGGACAGTAATCAGATCAAGGTGGCTTGTAGACCACTTCAAAACCCAATCCTGAAAACCTAATCAATCTCCTTGCATGAAAGTAAGAGACAATTGTTTTGAGACTGTGAACTGGACAAAGCAGACTCCACAGCCATATGTACAAGAAATGCAAGATCGGAGACTCTGAACTTTACCCTTGTCGACAGGCAGACAGACTCTACATGCATTAGAGAGGTTCTAGGTATGGCCAGTTGCCATTTTCCAGTGGAAACCAAACTGTGTGGTATAGTGCAGTACATGAACCGCACCATGACATTCATGAAGGCTTGTGGCCATCTCATCTGAAAGCCACAGGCAGGGAGAACGAAAAGAAGATCTCTGTCAGCCACATTTAAAACACACTACATAATTTTCAAGACACAGTAATGATATGTTGTCAGTAATACCACCCCAAAAAAAAATATAATACAGTAGCACTCTTATCTCTCAAACTCTAGGAAACTTCAGTCTTGTTCCAGAACCTGGGTGTTGCATGCCATTCACAGATCTGACTTATTTGTATGCAGACTGTTGGTTCTTTGCCTCTCAGGCAGATGCACTCTGGCTTCGAGAGAAGCCCCTAATTAGTCAACTTTTATGACGTGATTTTAGGGGAGGCAATGCGTCCATTTTTGTTTTCCCCATAATGAGGCCCCAGAATCCACATGAGGAATTTGGCAAATTTTATGCTCAATGGTTTGCCCACTGCATTTTGAACAAGAGAATAATGGAAGTCTAATCCCAGAAAATGTCTTGCTGAAGTAAGCTATAAAACCTATGTAAAATGTACAAATTCTAACTGTCTTTACTGCCTGTATGTACTATTTTTTTTAGGACAGTGTATGGTGTAGGACAGGAAGGGGGACTTGAGCCTGAGGATTTAAGACAGTGTTATTCCTCTAGGACAGGAAAGGGGACTTAAGCCTGAGGATTTAAGACAGTTTTATTCCTCTAGGACAGAAAAGGGGACTTAAGCCTGAGGATTTAAGACAGTGTTATTCCTCTAGGACAGGAAAGGGGACTTAAGCCTGAGGATTTAAGACATGTTATTCCTCTAGGACAGAAAAGGGGACTTAAGCCTGAGGATTTAGGACAGTGTTATTCCTCTAGGACAGGAAAGGGGACTTAAGCCTGAGGATTTAGGACAGTGTAGGGTGTAGGACAGGAAAGGGGACTTGAGTCTGAGGATTTAAAACAGCATGTCTAGCGAAGGTAAGTAATTTTTATTTTTGCCCTGACAGACCAAAAACAACAAAAAATGTATCTCGATAATGAATATTCTAATCTGGGTCTCTTAGTTGAGAGTGCAGTAATCTTAACTGCCTGGCCAGAATCTCTTCATTGTAGGATCGCAGTAAATTAATACAACTCAAATAATATCCTCTTTTTTGTGTGTGGAGCAAATAAAAAGAAATGTCTGAATAACTGCTTCAAAACTGGGAAGATATGGGCAAGGATGGCCAAATAATTAACATCGGGCTACATTAACAATGTGTACCTTGAAGTTAATTACAGGTTTAATAACAATATACAACATATTATTGGTTAGCTTACCTGTTTGGATTCCACGACAGGGACCAAACAGGGGCCATGTTGGCCTGGGGTCGCTCAATTTTAACCTTTTCTTCTCCTGACTGAATACAAATAAGAACTGTCTTGGTAAATAACGATAAACTTAAATAACAGATCATAAAGATAAGCAATGCTAATTTTATAATCACCTGACATTCTGTACTGGCTATGAAAGCATTACCAAAAAGAATGAAACAATGAGTAAGTGACGTTTAACCAGAAAATGAGTGATAAACATCCGGTGACATAAAGTGACTCCATTCGGATGAGAATTCCCTGGGCAAAAATTTCAGAAACTCCATTAAACTGTTAGGTTAACTGCCAAGGTGAGGCTTTAAAATAACAAAACAACAACAAAATTGCTTTCTAATATGGGTTGGAAACTATTTAATGAAACAATAATATAGTCATTTCACATATCATCTATACTATAAATCACAAACCCTTTCTATATTTTGCGTGTTTATATAAATTCAACTATTAACTTCTTCCAGACCGTGACCACCACACAGATTACATTTTCAACTGCCATTACAAATATAATGTTTAATTTACCAGTCACTCTGGCAGCCAGGTTTATGTGCATTTCCTTTATTCATTGCAACAATCAGGGTTTATGTACATTTCTTTTATTTATTGAAACAATTGGTAAAAAGTAAACTTTCGCTGGAATTGTAACCCACACAGCACAAGTCACTACGCTAAGTTGGCAGTAGTGCTAACTAAGGGAAGACCCGGTCTAGGAGCCTTCTACCACTCCATCTTGGAGCCAGTGCCCACACCCTGTAAACACTTGTATTTCCTACAGAAAATTCTGAGAAGAGACAAACAGAGAGAGAATCACCCAAACATGCACTAAAATAGGACACTGACAGGTTGAGAAAGCAAAGGCATCCAAGAGAAAACTAGGGAAGGCTCACATTATGCTCTCTCCCCCATGGAGTTTCTACCATATATATGGCAGCAGTGGAGACCAAGGCAAAGTAGAGGATGGAAGGTGAAACTTTCGTACCTTATTCCGGGTAAAGCCAAGCAATTAAATCTAGTCAATTATAAACAAAGTGTCAAAATATTCAGTGTGATAAATTAATGAATGGGAGTAAACTATCCTATTTTTTTGGTCGGGGGCAGGGGGTTGTTTTTATTTCAGCATGCATCCCTATATGGATCCTGGGGACCCAGTTTTGATAGGAAACAAACAGAAATCCTGGGGACCCAGTTTTGATAGGAAACAAACAGAAATCCTGGGGACCCAGTTTTGATAGGAAACAAACAGAAAAGATCCATTGCCCTTCCTTATAAGCATGTTGCGAAGGGTGCCTACTAATAAGAGGGTTGCTGAAATTAGATATTTTGGCCAAAAAGCAAAGATATCACAGCGTTTCTATAAACCATAACACAACATGCAAACTGCCCTTTGAAGAAGAAGAAGATTTCAGCATGCATGTTGTGTGCATGAGTTTTTACCTAGGCTGAGAAAGAAAAAAGATCACATGCCCAAATAGTTGCACAGACTAGGAAACTGTAATATTCCAAACTTTGATGTGTTTTGAACACGTTCTTATAATATCTGAGATGAACATTATATCCTCATCAACTTCAAAATTCCTCAGATTTGAATAGACCAAATGGCACACAGGTGATGTGCTCAAAATCCTGCCAGCTACTTTTACTTTCCAGAATATTTCCTGGCACTGCGTTTGGCTGGGTTAACCTGGGAGCCAAAGTCAGTTTTGAAATAATCTGACTCGATGCAAATATGAACTCAAGACCTTCCGGCTGGCAGATCACTAGGTTACTGTGGCTCATAAAAGCTTCATAGTAAAAAGTAAAGATCCCTTTTCACGCCTTTCGGCGCATCGGGCATATGGGCAGAGCGTACCATATTTTTACAGACCATCAGCACTCTGTGGGTAATGTGGTCAGCATTACACCGGCTGTCTTTACTTTCCCAGGGCAGCCCATCCTGGTACCCATTTTAGGCTGGGTCGACCTGCGACGTCCCATACCATGATAAAAATCCACGCAGCCTGCAGTGGGTTTCGATCGCGGTATGCTGGCTTAAGAGTCGGACTCGCAACGCCTTAGCCACGAAGCTTCATAATGACTCTAAATTGTTAGAAAAGAAAACCTATCAACGGCTAAATGGAGCCTGCTACAAATGAGGATATCTGTCTAGAGCAGTGGTTTTCAACCAGGGTGGGGGCACAAGGATGTTTCAAGGAGGACATCAAGTGTCCAGCAGTTTTGAAGTTTAGAGTGCATCTGTGCTTGTAATATTCTGTTACACTAACACTTTTTTAGTTTCATTAAAAATCAAATATTTTTGATAAATATCTATGTAACAAAAAGCCAAGGATGTTATGGTAAATCACAATTCAAAGTGTTTTAGCTAGATATTTTTTACAAGTTCTAGTTAATAGTGATTTGGATTTTTCTTTTTGTCCTTCTCATTTCAATCATATTTTTTTTTTTAAAGCTAGGGGAATGGAGGTTTTGGCATATATTTAGGATTGAGAGCGGAAAGGGGGAGGAGCACCTGAAAAAGGTTGAAAACCACTAGTCAAGAGTAAGAAAGGCTGACACAAAGTAAGAAAAGCTGACACAAAGCAAGCCACAAGTGGATACACTGTCTTGTAAGGTACATAAATTAGGTGTGATGCACTGCCCTCTTAACTCATTGACTCCCACAGGTTTTAGCATCACAGGCCCAAGGGGTGGTAAAGAAAGACATTAAATCCGCACATAATGTGTTCATTGGGCTTCAAGGTAACAATCTATGAACGTATGATACGTTCCTTGAGACTCAAAGAGTTAAGAGACAGGAGGATTTAGGTAAATTTCATAATGGCTATCCTCTTTAATATTATGAAAAGCGTTACACCTAAAGTTATATAGGATACTTCCTTAGAGTCTTCTTGCTAGAATAAGAGGTTACCTTGTTTCTGATGCTGACCAAACCATTGTACAAACCCACTGCCAGGTACTGTCCATCATTGGTCCAGCTGCAGCAGGTGATACGACTGCTGACTTTGTGTTTGGACACTGCCTTCTGTTCTGGTGACCACAGACCTAGGCATCAACAACATTTAACCATGAATGCTCTTCAATATGGTGACCACAGACCTAGGCATCAACAACATTTAACTGTGAATGTTCTTCAATCTGGTGACCACAGACCTAGGCATCAACAACATTTAACTGTGAATGTTCTTCAATCTGGTGACCACAGACCTAGGCATCAACAACATTTAACTGTGAATGCTCTTCAATATGAACAACATAATGCACTTGAATTGTAACATTATTAAAAATCTAATTTTCATTCTTTAAGTCAACACTAATTCTTATAATGGATCAACATAAAAATTTTAGCCAAATAGTGTTGGTGATCATACTTATTTGTGTCTTGTGACCTCTAATGGCATGTATGTATCATTACATCTGTATCATTAATACAGGCCATATTATGTTAATTACTTAAAACAATAATAATATTAAAACTTGAACCTGCATTTAAGTTGCTAGTTTGGCCTTTAAAAAACTCATAATTTGTTAAAGTATCTCATGTGCACATACACACCAAACATCATGCAGTAGTATCATCATTACACTCCAGAACTACTAACATTGTGTATCTTCATATTCGTTCATGTGGATTCCATTTCAACTACAAACATTAAACTTGCATAAGGTAAACAAAAATAAAAATAGTCATCAATTTATACAGAATAAATGGTAAATTTTAATAAACTATTTATTTCTTCTTCTTCTTCTGCATTCGACATCAGCCATGCTAAACATTTAGTCCCGTCTAGGTCACAAATAGGATTGTATGTCTAAGGTCACCGCTAGGCCCCCACAGCTTATTCTGGCTCTTCATCTAACACGAGACTGGTCTTGTTTGAAACCTTAAGTTTTGCATGCTCATTCGTCTGGCAGATCTGGTTTATTTACATGCAGACTGTTGGTTCCTCCCCTCTCTGCAAATGCACTCTGAATTCAAAGGAAAACCTAATTAGTCCTTTTTTTTAAACATGTTTGTTGGGGGTCAGGGGAGACTATTCTCCATTTTCTTCCTAAATGGAGCCCCAGAACCCACACAGGGAACTGTTCTTATTCTTCTCAAAGTCCACGCCGTGTGGTGTTGGTAGTCATGTCTATCCACAACCTTCTGTCTTGTTAACTTTCAGTCAACTCTGACACATATGATCCTCCATGCCATGATGTCAAACTGTCCATCATCATTTCTCTCGGTCTCCCTCTGCCTCTCCTCCCCTCTAACTTTCCTACCGCCACGATGTACTCCAGTTTTCTCCTTCTCATCACATGCCCAAAGAATGTAGATTGTCTCTTTATGATGTGGGCAATCAGATCTCCTCATGAACTTCAGAAACTGTCACTGTGATTTCAGTAAATATTCTTGTTAGAAACAGTTAACAATGATTTACCAAAGTCAGTGACCGCACAACTGACCAACTGATGGCTGACCGGATTGTAAGCAAGGCACTGGATTGCATCATTATGTCTGAAACACATTGGGAGAAGAAATTAATTAACTGACTACAAGAAGCTGGTTTCTGTGCTGAGTCATTAAATAAATAAATAAATAAATCAGTCAGGTGTAATCTCAATACTGAAGGTTGACTGCAACAGATCTTCAACAATCTCAGACTATCATCTTGGTTATACACTTTCTGAGACTGTTGTTGGTCCATCTCTTGATGTTATCCCACCAATTGTAACTATGTCTGCTTCTTACTTTCTTGCCATCGACCCCAGCATGTTTTTATATAAAAAAGAATGTTATGTCTGTTAATGTGGCGGAAATACTTTGCTTGTCATTAATTTCTTCACCAACTCTCGTTTCATTTCATCAATTTGTTTCATCTCAGCAGAACTTCTTTTTAATTATTTAGGTTTCCATGAAACACAACATATTCTTCAATACTTCCATATCGCCAGAGACTGAAGTTACTTATACATTTGTTTCAAAATGATTCTCTCCCTGCTAGAGGTTGATCTTAAATCAGAAGTAAATTGATTCCCTACTTTTTAAAAGCTGATCTTATTTATCTTTCCTTTAAAATCGTTGTGCATCTGGCTGTGAAGCAATGAACCAACAGTCTGCATACAAATTAGACAAATCTGTAAAAGAGACTTGCACACAAAACTCAAGTTCTGGAACAAGACTCAAGTCCAGAAGCAGAATAACAGTCTATCAGAGTCTACAGCCACTGAATGCTACTAAGAAGGAGGAGTATTTTAACTTCTTTAGTGTCAAACAGGAGGGGGGGGGGGGGGTGGTTGCGTGGTCTCAAGGTATATTGCCCGCCACGTGTGCTAGAGGTCCCGAGCTCAGGCCCAGGGAAGAGCTGGGATTTTTTTCACAGTCACTTCTAGTAATTTTTCCTGGTCTTTGGGCAGTGAGATTGGACAACTGTGTGTATTGTTGCAAACGTTAAAAAAATCCCTTGGTATTTGGAAATTGAAAAAAGTAGCCTAACGTCGCTCCCCAGGCAAAATTGAGGGATAAAAATCTACCCAAATATTTCAGCATCCTTGCCGGTGCTACGGAGAATGTGCACTGAGCTGAGCTACTTCGGACTCCGACCTGAGTAAGAAGTAGAACAGAGCACTTTTGGGTTACTACCTGGGTGCCATGATGTTGATCCGTTGTTCAAACCTCAGACCTGGTGTCAAACAATAAAATATTGATTTTAAATGCCATTTCCTATAATTTAGATCCTGTGTGTCATCGAATCTGCTGAATTGAACATGTTATGCTCAGTTTTGTTTTATTATCACCTACTGCTTGGCTCAGCAGCCGTGGTGTAGCAGCTAGACGCTCGCCTGTGGATCCGAAGGTGGTGGGTTTAGGTCCTGACGGAGCCTGACCTTTCTGAAAAATGACCTATGCTTGCAGATCGACCCAACCTTAAATGGGTGCCCGGTATAGCCCAGGAAAGTAAAGATGGTCGGCATGATGTTGACCACATCATCCAGTGACTGATATTATGCACAGAATGAGCTACAGTAACATATGTCTGGCACTAGGAGAGTTCAGCTGCAGCCTAGACCACTGGCTTGATAAGCAAACTCAACAGCCACTAAACCAGCTCAGCCACCTCAACTAAAATAAGAACACAGTGAAAGCATGTGCAGCAGGAGTCTATGTATCTTCAGTATGTGTCCCTCTTTCAATAATTGTTTCAGCCTTAAACAATATAGAACCAAGTCCAATTCCATTATTCCCTGCACCATTATTCAGGCAGTTGAGGCCCACTTTGAACACTCTAATTTTGTCAAAGCAAATGCGCCGGCCACCCAACTTTTGACATGCACCAAAGAATAACAGTGTCCCGTTATCTGTTGTTGTTTTGGCAAAAGAATGTCCAATATGGTGATGCATGCTTGTCAGTCCAGCAAGTGTATGAGCTAAGCAGGAAGTTTCAAAACTGCTGCATTTGACTTTTTGGTCCCTATCTGGTGTGTCTGACCCAGTCTGTCACAGAAGTCATACTGGTTTGAAACTTCCAACTCCACCCATACACTTATTTTGTCATTTTGATGCCCAATAAACCAACAAGAACAAACTGCCCAAATTATGCTCAGAGAGCCAGTTTTTTTTCCTTACGTGTATTTCAGAATCCCTTCTAATTTATTTGTCCAAATGATGACACTTTTGTCTGCTGAGCCAGATGCAAATCTTTGCCCATCTTTAGCGTAAGCAACACAGTAAACTGTTTCTTTGTGACCCTTCAGTGACTGGATTATAGACCCATCATTGGCATCATAGACATGAACCCTGGTTCCTGCAGCCACAACCAGTCGCTGACCATCAGGACTAAAACATAAATTCCACACACTGAAAAAGAAGAAGAGGTGTTCCATGAAATATAATAATGCAGACTAAAATTAATATTTTATGTGATTTACTTGCATACAAAAAAAAATCTGGCATCAAATAGTTAAACAAAAATGTTTAATCAGTTATGTTTTGCTTCTACAACCTTATTACTCACTTTCATTTATTTCCTCATCTTATTCAACTGAGTAAAGATGAAGGTAAAAGAAAAATAGCTGAACAAATAGAAATCCTGGGCTATAAAAAGACAGGCTTGAGGTTAACCTGCACAAAGTATTGATAAATATAGTATATTTTCACTCTTTCAGTTGAGAATTAGTTAGAACGAGATGAAAAAATCTAAAGAAGCAAGAGAACACACTGTGTGATATATGGGATTAGAGGAAAAGGTTGTGTTTTGTTTGGAACAGAAAGCTTTAAATAACAGAAGATTTAAATGTGAAAAGTGGAACCCCAATACCTATAGATAGGGTTAGAGCAACAATTGATACATGATAAGGCGGACGTGGTTAGTGCCTTGTGGGAGAGCGTGTACAGTTCGGAGGAGCAGATGGATCAGCACAGTCTGGTGAGATTGATGCAGTGGGGAGTGACGAGAGGTTCTGGGAGATGCTCGAGGTTCAGAGGAAAGGCAAGACGGACATTTAATCAGAATGCTACTGGCACCATTAGTATTGGAACTTCGCTGGCTGCTGAAGATGGGGACGAAGCGTTTATGGGAATGTCCTGAGTGCTGTGATGTCAGTTCTTGAATCAAATCAAATCAATCAATAAAATCAGAGCAACAGTTAAACTTATTTTTAAAAAGCCTAAGACATTTACAAACAAATCTTCTTAAACTAACATAAAACATGGCTGTAGAATATCTAGTTACTAACAAAACAAATTAACAAGGAAACTTGACCACCATCATCATCAAGTAGTAGACATTCTGCAGCTTTTCAATCTTATCAAAACAGGCCGAAAGGACACCCGATACTCGTAGTTCTCATACTTCCTCTCTGAAGACCAAACAATGTGGGAAATGATCCGGGCATACAACACTGACCTACGACCTAACTATGCAGTCACAACAAGCATCCCAGGTATAAAGGCTGAAGAATGTAACCTGGCACTGAGAGCAAAGACCCTTGAGCATGTCTACAAGTCTTACCCAAAACCCAAATCGATCCACACACACATACACACACACACATATATATATATATATATATATATACATACGGATTACTGGAGGGAGCAGAAAAAATGGAAGGGCCAGTTTAGTCATCATGCTGCAAGATGGGACCACAGTGAAAAAGTTATGTGCCTCTAGGAAACTCAACAAACTTCAGAGCAGAGCAACAAGCAATCTTAGGGGCAATAAAACTGTTTGAGGAAAGACAAATAAAAGACAGCAAGATTGTTTTCCAGTGTGACTGCATGTCAGTACTCCAGGCAACTCAAAGAGATCTCAGAACAACATGGAGAGAGAACTGACCCACCAGCTAAACAGACTCTAGGGTAGGGCTTTAAAACAACAACAACAAGAATAGGTCCTATACTGGGGCAGAGTAATAAATTATTTGCGGGTAGAATAACGCTTCTTCTTACAGCACATTCTGCGTGGCCTTGGTAGTCATGCATGTGTATCAACAACATTCTGTATCGTGTACTTTCTGAAACCATTGGATCCGGGCTCACTGTGGCATACCAGGAAACGAGTTAGCGGACAGACTTGCGAAAAATGGAACAAAGGGGGAAACAATGTACTCGTTCATTGTCATTACCAGAAATCAAAACACATAACAAGGGAAATACAATGAATCGTGGAGAGAACAAACCAACAGCGAACATCCATAAGACCCCATTAGCAGACTCAACAGATAGCAGCACACAACAACTTTTAATCTAAGAACATGACACAGCAGGCTCAACTACCACATGCATAAAATAAAGATTTTACAGTCCCCACAATGTGCCTGTCAAACAGGACCACAAACACCTGAGCACATTCTGCAAACCTGTCCACTCTACCCGCAACTTTAAAAAGACACCTGGCCTCAAGAGCAAAGTGCACAGAGCAAGCTATAGGGAACCATGAAGGACCTGCTGCTGACATACAAGTTCATAGAGGCAATCCACCTGATGGTCTGATCTGAGCATACGAAATGGAATACAAAGAAGAAGAACCTCGGTCTCTCGTCAGCTGTCTAATCTCATATCCAAGCAGTTCCAGTGACTTCCGTCACAGCCGAGAGTATCCCCCATGCCGCTCATGCGGCGTGGATTGGGGCTAAACTAGATGGCTAGGACTCACGAGCAAATAAATGAAGGAAGCTGCAGGAGATGCGGTAGCTGCTGCTCGTGAGTCCCAGCCATCTAGTTTAGCCCCAATCCACGCCGTGTGAGCTGCGTGGGGGATACTCTTGGCGGTGGTGGAAGTCACCGTAAGTGTGCAATTTAAGACGACGGGAGTGTGCAATTTACACATGACTGAGGCCCTGTTAGGGTATATTTTCTGCCTCGATTTAGGACCGTTATTCGGAGCAAAGCCTTTTTTTCCAAGCTGTCATGGCAAGATTATTTTCTTGATGTTCAGATCTTTTAGTTTAGGATTTCAGTAGTTATTTTCAATCAACTATATCGCAAAGTTATATTGGGACACCACAAAAGGGTTAGAAGTAACATGTAGTCTGGTGTGAGTGTGAGTTGGTAGTAAGTCTCTATATGTATATAGGGACTACAGTTTCGACAATTTGCGATCTTTTCGGCAATTTCCGTTACCCGGAAACCGTTCAGAACTTGTTCGGGAAATCTCGGCTGGTTTCCGGATGGGTCCAAATCTCATGAAAATTCGTGATTGGTGGGAATTTGGACCAGCTATAAATAGCTGGAAACAGCGTGGGGGAACCCGATTAACAGCGCATGTCTACGACAGCCGGACTCCTCTGTTTTTCTGTTAGTCACCAGTTTGATTAAAAATAGCGGTAAATTCGAGGTTGGCTTTAGGCCTTAAACATTACCAGTTGTGGTAATGCTAGTTACAGTTGAATTCTCCGTCCAATTTTACATTTGCATAAATAAATTTCTTTCCCGACTTTCGCTGTTTAGATTTACAGTGACATTTTTTAGGCAATCGCATGCGGCTGAGTCTCACTGCCTGCCATCTTGTCCAATGACAGTCTAATGTCAACAAAGCCGATACAGAACTGCGCAGTAGGTTGCGCAGTGAAAAACTTCTTGTTTCTGGGTCACAAGTTTTAGCGGCTGTTTCTTACATCTCATCTCCACAAAAACCTACATATCTCAGCTCAGAAATGACATACAAGCCTAAATGAGGTACCATTGGAAAGAGATTGTTTACAGCTATCTAAATGTGCTGGTTTTATTGGTGTAGAGGGCATTTTAAAAATTTGACTGAAGTACCTAATGTATAGCAAGACCCTAAATTGGTAAATTAAATAAATCATTAGTAAAAATTAAAAATAGTAATGATAAATCAACATTGTAAATTATTTAAATTACATTAGAGTTATTGTTTCAATACAACTGTATAATCAGATAACTTCTACAATAATTTACTACAGACCACTGCTCTTGTTTATTGCTATCATAAACAGTGTCCACCCAAGTGGGCAAGGTTTTCATTCTCTATTTCTGAACAAATACAACTTGCAGTACATCCGTAGCAACCACGGCGTCCTAAGTTAGCATTGTTGGAAGGAATGCACAAGGGGAGGCAACTACTTCTGGGTTTCCGCCTGCCTAGAGAAACGCAAATTGTAATGACGTTTTCCGCACAGACTGTTGAACTCACTGCCTTAACATTAACAATAACATTAACACTTACGTTGTACTCACTGCCATAACTTTAACACAATAACATTAACTCAGTGCCTGGTTCGCGTCGGGGCTCCCAATATAAACTTTACTTTTAGTTAACAGGCTTGAGGTGGTAATCCTAGCGGGGACAAACTCCTGCATATGTGCACAGGCTTAACGCATTTTCTTGTATAGGTAGTGAGTGACGGTTCAACTGCACAAAGAAGGACAAACAACCGATGACACAAAGTGCCACCATTCAGATGAGAATCATCCATGGAACGAGTCCCTGTAACCCCGTTCAATTCTTAGATTATATAAGAGGTCCGATGACAGCCGGGTAGGGCTTTAAAACAACAACAGAACTACGTCCAACACGGGCGGAGTAATAAATTATTTGCGTGTAGAATCACGCTTCTTCTTTTAGCACATTGCTGCGTGGCCTTGGTAGTCATGCATGTGTATCAACAACATTCTGTCTCGTTTACTTTCAGTCGTTCATGTGTCAAGTAATCTTCCACCTCATAACGTCAAACTGTCAAGCACCTGCTCTCTTGGTCTCCTTCTGATTCTCTCGCCCTCCAACTTTAACACCACCAAGATGTAATCCAGATTTCTCACATTCGTCTGTAGTACCACATTTCTGCAAATACATAGGCTTAAGGTCACAAACAATGCCATTTACATCATCAGGACTCTATCAGAAAAGCTATATAATTTTTACAAATTATCTTTACTTATGCGTAATTCCTGACGCTCACAACATCACCCACTAAGTGCCGATTGGTCTATAAACTATAGATCTGGCCATATATGCACGAGGGGTGGAAACGTGTGTTTTGCTTTACTTATGCTTCATTGACTCTACTCTGAAGATATTCTGAAGACCATATATGAACGACTGTTGACAGAAGACAGGAGATTAAATGAAATAGTATGTGCAAGAATGTGCAAACAAAGAATTAAGGCAAGGAAGGGCGGATGAGAGGAAGAGGTGTTTATAATAAGTGTGCTACCGAAACAGTTAGCATCTACACCTTAAGATCTTTGCTGCTGGAGAAGGAGTATCTATGGGTATTCCCGGTGTCCTATGATGTCGATTCTTATATCAGTAATCATTATCAGTGACTGTACTCTTCTTTTTCAGCGCTCTCTGGTCATGGGTATAATTCAGTGTGAGCCTCAAACTAGGATGTGATCTCAAGGTGTCTTAGGTTTCCTCAGAGTTTAGTTGTAAGACCCTGTAGTGTGCTGTCAGTAGTTTTGGACTCTAAAGACTGCATGGCTGACAGCGAGTCTGTACTGCCATTAGTAGGGCTGAGAGTTTTACCTTGTAGTTAGAGCAAGTTAGTCCTGTGGGGGCTGCCAGGGACACAGTAGTGGCATCTGGGTATTTAATGTAAACACCTGCTCTACCATTCGCTGTTTCTTCGTTTGCTGATCCATCTGTGTATATTCTCGTTCAGATGTTGTGTGGGAACATTTTGTTGTGTTCCATTGTGTTGAAAAATAAAGGGACAGAGTACGTGTAAAAATAACCGGTTTTCAAGTTGTTATCGTCTTTATAGACGAATGATGCGAATACCATGGACATATCAAAAGAGTAATGAGGATGTCTTGAAAGAAACTGACCCACAAAGAAAACTGACTGCCCACATCAGAAAGAAACAGTCTGCATTCTTTGGTCATGTGATGAGGAGAAAACTCGGGTACATCGTGACAGCACGAACATTGGAAAGGAAAGGGTGGGGGGGGGGGAGGGGGGGGGAGAGACCGAAAGAAAAGATGCTGGGCAGTTTGACAGTGCATGAGGATTTATATATGTCAGAGCTGATTGAAAGTACATAAGACGGAAGGTTGTGGATAGACATGACTTATCAACGCAACATGGGCTGGACTTTGGGAAGAAAAACTTCAATATTATTTTTTTATGAACTAACTGCCCATGATTTACTTCCGTATATCAGGACTGAATTTACATAGCTCTGAAAACTGTCCTACTCACTCCAGATGGTCATCCATACTTGCATAAAAAGAGTAAATGACCCGTTTTATGCCAATGGCTTTCGGGTATATGATGCTTGCCTCAGATTTGTATAGACCAATTTGTCATCAAAGGGTGATGTGGTCAACATCATGTAGGCCACCTTTACTACCCAGGACTTTACCTGGTGCCCATTTTAGACAGGGCCAACCAGAAAGCCAATGTAATTTTGAAGAAGAAAAAGAATTGTTGCGGATTCAAATCGAAGACCTTCGCACTGGCAGACAAGCATTTTGCCGCTACATCACCGTGACTCCCACACACTTACGTGCATGTGGAAACTCTCATAGTCTAAAATCATCAGATAAGTGGATCCTTTGGGCTGTTTTCAGGCTCTCTGATAGTTTCTGTCCATATCTGGCTGCATTGTGCTGTTCTCCTAAAGAAAAAAGGAATGGCTTCACTGCATACAGCGTTATCCCATCTGGTTCAATCTCTGTAAATGTATGTGTAGTAGTAGTTTAGAGTTGATTTAAGAACTGACATCACAGCACTCGAGGAATTTCCATGTGTGCTCCATCCTCATATTCAGCAGCCAGCACAGAGTTCTAATACTGATGGTACCGGTCACAATCTGGTGATATGTCCGTCTTGCCTTACCTCTGAGTGTAGTGAGCCGGCCAGACCCTCTGGTCACACCCAGGTGTATCATTCTCTCCAGGCCATAATAATCTTGTTTCTCTACTGATTCCGTTTATTGTTCCCAAAGGGAAATGGAGAAAAACTGGATAGAATCAAACAGGAACAAAATATCAGAAACCCAGTTCGACAGTTTTTGGACGCCCCATGATTACAGGGTAACTGCTGTCCAGTGAGGCTAGATATCTACCATGAAGAGGGACAAAAACACAAATACTGTGGCTCCATCAACGATATCCATAAAATATTTCTAACCCAAAATGAACTTAATGGCCTCTAGAGAGTGAAACAATTATCTTGCTCAATTATTATTGTAGATTTCTATTCTTTTTAATTCCGCTTACATCCAACTATAAATATAAAGTGTGTGCTCATCTCCCCCCCCCCCCCCCTTTCTTAAAAGTGTCTTGGTACTGCTCTGTCAGTTGCTTAAAATGCCATACTCATACACTCATTTAGATTAATAAAGACCACAGCGATATTTTGACTTTTGAACACAGAAAGAGAGAAAGACATACAGACACACACACACACACACAAACCAGCATATAAGAATTAGAGGTTTTCCCTTCAAAGTCTGCCTGAAATTCTCCTTACCCAGTCTGCAAACAAATAAGCCAGATGTGCACACAAAACTCAAGGTCTTGAATAAACCGCTTGTTACTTGTTCCTATCGATATTCTAGCACACGGTCCTCCCAGGCAGCAACCATCTCTTGTCTTTTGCTGTTACTTGTTCCTATCGATATTCTAGCACACGGTCCTCCCAGGCAGCAACCATCTCTTGTCTTTTGCTCAAGGTACCCATTGGGAGCTCAGACTTGTTTGGCCCACAACCAGTTTCTGCATTCTTCTTCTTCTTCACTTCCTCTTTTACCGCTGTGTGTGTGTCAAGGGAGATATAAGGTTCTGTTTCTAGCTCTTCTGGCCGCCTCGACCATAGGCACATGCATTCTTGTCCTCGTTATTACACATTTTTAACAGGTGGTTCAGTCTCAGACTCCATCAGAGTTTCTAGAAGGCAGCACATTCAATATGTGTGCCCTGTCTTACTTCTTCCTTCACCAACCACTGCAGACACGGCCAGTTTCTTTAATTTCCTTCCTTCCCCCCTCCCCCCCTGGTGTATCCCGGCCCAGTGTGTACAGCGAAGATAGTTTCTTGGAGCAGGACTTGTGGATACTGTCAACAACATTCTAGTAAGAGTTTGCCAGTTTTGATCTTCCCAAGCATACTGTGATAGCTGTTATCTTCATCCTCATGCTATAAGTTTGGGAACAAGACGAAAGTCTTTAAGTGGCTAAACAACCAGGATTTTGGAGTTCACAGCTGGTTAATGCTGAGAAAAAGAAAAAAAAAGTACCCCTTTTGCATTTGTTTTGGTCCATTATCATCTTAAATGGTTACCAACACCAGTTTCTAAGGTTTTATAAAGCTGCCAAATTATTTTCATAACAAAATACATGCAAATATGCAACAATTGAAAGCAAATAACTAAACAGTAATGAGTTAAAGAGCATGGAACAAGCAAATATTTAAAAAAAACTGCAGTTTATTAAATTATGAACAAGTGCAGTAAATACTGAAACAGAACACATCTCATACATTCTGCAAATTCTTATTTCTTTTCTTACACAATCAAACAATCCACCACACACACACCCTACTCACTATTTACTTATTAATTAATCCTGCTGCTGCAAAGCTCAATGTCACAGACAGCAATAAGAAGACAGTGACAGTTAAAAAATTAAGTTAATTAAAGGAATTATGTTTGTTTTCAACAAACACCGAAAGGTTAAACATGCATGGGCAACCCCACTGCCGTTTTAATATCTCAAAGTCTGCTGCACAAAAAAGTTGACCACATATATTTCTATAGACAGTATCAGGCCAAGCAATTGGGATTACTGTAAGAAACAACACTTATGAAATTACCAAACAGAGAATTATTAGGACAAGAGATGCAGCTGCTTCAATTTCAGCTGCAGATTTAATTAAATGTTTTAACAAGAGGTGCACATTTGATTTTGGCTGTAGATTTATTTATTTGAATGTTTTAACAAGAGGTGCACCTTCGATTTCAGCTGCAGTTTAAAGAATATAAAACTTTTTTTTTTTTTACATTTAAAAACATCTGACCA